CCCATTGGCTAAACCCAATTTGAAGCAGAAAGCAATGGGAGTGCATGGTGTGACCCATACAGAGTAGACCATGGAAAGAAAAGGAAGTGGAGGGACAAAGAGAAGATAACCAGCCACAAGCAACTACTGGCACAGTTACCACTATAGAGTGAAGAGTGGAGGAAGTCCATCAATTGTGAACCAACTATATACTCCAGCAAAGGTAAAATTCCTGGGGTCTCTATAGGGAATCCTGGCAAAACAATACTCTAGACAGCTAACTAGGCCCTCACTCCATCACCCTGGTCTCCGCCCTAGCCAGAATCCTTCCTGACTCTCTAAAGAGCTAACTGCCCACGCTAGAATCATTTTTCCACAATTGGATCTTGACGATTCATTAAAATAACTCCAATGGGATAATGAGCTGAATGGGGCCAGCCCTGTCTCTGCCTCTGGAGGCCGTGGTCTGTTACTGTCTGAACCATCCCGCTGGCAGGTTTGTTTGCACACCCGAAAATGTATTGGCCACTTAAATCTGTTATAAATTACCAGTCTGGAAATAAATATCGTATCTGGGTCCCCAGTAAGTAACAGATGCATGAGTGCAGAGTGAGATAAATGCGTTTTGGATGCAAACCTCTTTCCCATTGCTCACAGACAGATGGAGGCAGGCCCAGTGCTGGTTTGCAGTCGATCTGCGTGCTGTGTAGGTGGGACTTAAATGAACTCAAAGTTCTTTTAAGGTTAGGAAGTTTTCTATACTCACTCTTGGCGAATCCCCAGAGGAGCCCCAATTGAGCAGTACATTTCCTTTTATCTCCTTTGCTGAGGAGTCTCGTGGTTAGAATGTTTTCTCTTTGGGGACTGCGTGGGTTTTTAGAAGCCAAGGAGGGTCTCTTTACTCAGATGCAGCATGGGGACAGGCACACAGCATGCATGCATTCAGTCAGTATGAATTTTTCAAGGCCAGTGGCCCAGGCTGACTTCTGGGTGCTAGGAACATGGCCATGAGCAAGCCAGATACACAGCCCTGGCTTCATGGAGCTCCCATTCAACTGGGGGAGGCAGATGATAAGCATGTAAATAAAGAAAGAATAGTATGCTATTTGGTGATAAGGTCTCTAAAAAAAAGTAAGCAAGAAAAGTGGAAAGAAGCTGATGGGGTAGTCGGAGATGAACTCTCCGCAGAAGTGATTGACAACTGAGCAGATGCCTGGATGGAGTGAAAGAGCAAGCCACTCAGTTACCTGGGGGCAGACAGAGCAGGCACTGGGAAGGGCGAGTGCTAAGGCCTCTGGATGGACATGTGATCCCTATCTCTGAAGAAGGGTAAGAGCCAGTGGACAATGAAAGAATGGTAGAGACACTGGGAATATCACTGAGGGGTTGAAATGGAAGTGACAAGAGGTGTCAAGATGCCCAAACCAGGCTTAGGGAAACAATAAACCACCACCTCCTCTGAGGTGACCTTCTTCGCTGTTCAATTCCCATGGGTGCTCCACAGAGTCCCACATCTTCCCATTAGCAGCCTTTACCCCAGTCTGTTGATGTCTGCGACTTGCTCAAAAGCAAAGTCCACATTCATCCGGTCCACTTTTGTATTTCTAGTGCCTTGTATATTGTAGTAGGTGCTTAATTAATACCTGGATTGACAGTGAATGTGCAAACAATTGAATTCACAAAATAGAGAATCCAAGCCATTTAACTCCACAACTAAAATGTGAATCTCTTGCTCACAATGTTATCTCACTGAATTTCAAGTACGTTAGAAGCTTCCAAATCACAGCTTCCTCCAGGGTCTCTTTTTTTTTTCCAGCCTAAGCATTAAGGGGATGCTCCAGCTTCAGCTCAAAAACATTCATGCATGCATTTCACCAACCAGATGGCTAAAAACTGCACCCAGCTCTGGGTGGCATGTGCCATGGCCCAGGAGGAGAAAAGTCCAAAAAAAATGGCTGCCTGATATGGAATTGTATTCACTGAGCATATACAAAGCTCTACTGGGCCACTCAGAAAGAAGCAGTGAGCTGTGCATCCCAGAGGAGAGCATATTTCAAGAGCAGCTTGGTGAAGCTGAAACACAGGATATGTGGGGTCGTAGGAGTGAACAGAGGGACAACTGGAGGTGAGGCTGGAGATAAGGATGGAGACAGATGACTAGTCCCAACCTAAGGCATCTGGACATTACCATGCAGGCAATAGGGTACTACTGCAGGCTTATAAGCAGGGTAGTGTGCAAGAGGAAGCTCATGGGGTTAGTAAGCAGCAAGGCTGCAGAGCAAAACTAGAGGCAGGGAGGCCAGCTACAGGTTAATGCTGTGGCCTTAGCCAGGGACAATGAGGGCTGTGGGAATGAGTGATGGGGATGGTAAAAGAGGGTAGACTTGAGAAACTGCATCTTTCCAGGATCTAGGGGATTATTTTCTATTCCCAAAACTACTGAAGAAAACCCTTGAGTTTAATTCTTTCTTTTAGCCTGTGGAGCCCTGTCCACTTGACTTGGAGGAAGAGATAGGTCTTCCTACCTCTTGTGTCACAGGGAAAGGTTCGTTATTTCGTTAACAGAAAGGAGGTCTTATCATCCCAGTATCCCCTGAGAGGCCCGCATACACTTTTAGTCTTGATAGGCACTCAGTAAATAAATGTTTGCCAAATAAACAATAAAATAACAAAACAAATAACAATAACAAAACAAATAATAAAATAACAAAACAATAAAAAAAACAAAACAACATAAAAAATATATGTTAAATCTTAGAACAGTGCCTGGCATATTGTAACTGCTACATATCAACTCATTTAATCTGAACAACAACACTATGATGTAAATACCATTATCCCCATTATTTTTTGGAATTTTATAGATTTAGGGGGTACAAGTGTAGCTTTGTTACATGGATATATTGCACAGTGGTGATATATAGGCTTTTAGTGTAACCATCACCTGAATAGTATACATTGCACCTATTACATTATTTCTCATCCCTCACCACCCTGCTACCCTCCAACCCTTCTGAGTCACCAGTGTCTACTATTCCACACTCTGCATCCATATATACACATTTAGCTCCCACTGTAAGTTGCGGTATTTGACCTTCTGTTTCTGAAGGGGTTTTTTTTTGCTTTAGATAATGGCCTCCAGGTCCATCCATGTATCTATGTTGCTTCAAAAGTCATGATTTTGTCATTTTTTATGGCTTAGTAGTATTCCATGGTATGTGTGTATATATGTACATATACTATATCTATCTACAAAATACTGTGTGTGTGTGTGTGTGTGTGTGTGTGTGTGTAACATTTTCTTTATTCAGTTATCCATTGAGATGGATACATAGGTTGATTTCATATCTTTGCTATTTGTGAATTTTAAAACTCAGGTACAAAGAGGCTAAGTAGCTTGCCGCAGACCACACAACCTAGAAGGAACAGAGCCAGGATTCAAACCCAGGCATCTGGGTTTCAGAGTCCATGGTACACATAACCACCATGCTATGTTGCCTGTCTGTCTGGTTGGTCAACAGCTAATTTATCGGGTATTTGCTCTGAGTCTCACATTTTGCGGAGCTCTGTGGGAAAAAAGAATTTTTAAGCTAAGTAGGGAGTGTCTGTCCTTAAGAAGCCAACAACCTCACTGAGTACATATGATTGCTCAAGCACAGAACTTAAGTGGGGATGCTGATTGCTCTGTGGCTAATCCGGCAGTTCTGGTCATGACATTGTCCCTGGATCGGTACCAACCTCCAACTCCAGAGCAGGCCCAGCAATTGGAAGGTGCCTACAAAATAGTTATTGATCATGTGAAATACAAAGGTAGAGAAATGTACAAGGAACTTAGAAACTTGTCTTTGAATCTGAAAGTGGGTCTAGAACTTTAGAGATGCCCCATCTGTGGCAACATAAGCCATACAGATGGCAGTCCTATTTCCGGAAGAAGGAGGCCTTGAGGCAGTTCATCCACCTCAGCAGGACAAAAAGACTGGTCAGCAACATCTAAGACAAAGACATCAAACTTCAGGGCGTACTTTCTCTGGACATGGTTAACCATAAATAAAAGTTGAGTGGATTTCAAGACTGTCAACAATCTCTCCATTGATAGTCCCCATAATTGGCATCTGTGTTCTTTAAAAACTTCATTCATCTATTCATTCATTTACTCATGTATTTATTTAACAAATACTAAATGCATTCAGTGTTCTGTACTACATACAGATCTGTCTATCTCCAAAATTAAAACTTCTCCTCAATATGATTGTAACTGGAAAGAGGACACTCCATGTATGCCATGCCCACGCAAAAGAGGAGTCACCTTCAACCTCTCCTCCAGTGATTAAGGTTATGAGGCAGCAGGGTACTCCCCCACCAGAGTACAGCAGGGCCTGCTGGAGTGCTCTGAAATGTACATAGAAATTAGAAACTGGTCTTTGGATTAGCAGGTAGCTTTATGGGTCTCCCAGGTCACACCTCCATAAGGTCCTCTCTGTACCTGGGACTTCAGTTCCAAGCCCAGGAAAGTTGGCACAGATAATCAATGTGGGATACTTCTCAGTTTTCTTTTTCTAATGGTTACTAATGCAAGGAGTCAACGATTGCGTTGTTTTCTTGCCTTTTTCTTCTCTGGGTGTCCCATAGGGTCTTGTACAGTGTACTTCACATAATCATGGCTCAGGAAAGACTTTTTGGTGGTTGATGCTCCCCATAAACCTGAAAACTCCTTCTGTGCCTCTTTTTGGGTGCATAAGGATAAGTGATGCCCATCCAGTCTTTGCTCCCAGTGCTACTGGTTCTAAGGCAAGCCGGTGTAGGCACCTCACAAGTAACCATAGGAAGAGCTAGCATTTAGTGACTTACTACACACATTATGTGCAATATCTTATTTAACCTTTGCCGCTTCTCTGGGAATAACTGATTTTCTCCATTTTGCCTATGAGAAAATAAAGTCTTGGAGAGGATGTTTATTAATATTGTGCTGTTTGCAAGCTTTGACAAGAGACCCTTCACAGTGCTTTTCTCCTGTTATCCAGGGATACCATCGACCTCGGCACTACATTGCAACTCAAGGTAAGTGCCCTCCCTCCTCCTAGTGCCTCAGCGAGGCTTCAAGGGTGCCAGGGGAAAGGGCTCTCTTAACTGCAAGGCTTGTCCTCCTGTCCTGTATCTGTCACTCCAACACTCCATTTCACGAAACAGCCCTGGAGGAGAGGAGTGAGTTTCCACCAACAAAGAAGCCACAGAGGTAGAGGTCTTTGAAATTGTTCATTTGTTTATTTGGGAAGGAAAATGGTGACAAGTTTCGCTATAGGAGAAAGGCCCATGAGTGCCAGAGGAAGGAGCGGTTACTTGGAAATGGTCAGGAGGGAGAGGCCCAAGCAGGCGCCATCAACACCTGCCAGGGCCGGAGCTGATGGTGCCTTATCTCCATGATGGGTGCGTATCTGTAACAGAGATGCAGCTGGTTGCCCTGGAAAGCAACTTGGCAGTGCATTTTCAGAAGGCTTCAACATGATCATACCTTTCAAACCCTTCTGGAAAAAGAAGTCCTGCAGATAATTATAAATAGAGACAATGACGCATATAAGAACATTCTCCATGGTGTTATCTATAATAGGAAAAAAAATGTGAAAAATCTTAAATGCCCAACAATTGGTACATTGGTTACATAAAGTGTGTTACCACCGCATTATAGAAAACCTTGCAGCTATTAAAACTATTATGCTTGGTAAGAACTTTTAAGGGTATCACAAAATGCATATAATAGGTCTGATGCTTATTACAGTAAATACATATACATATAAATATAGAAAAATGGTATTCAAACTTTTATATCAAACACACATATTACTTTTGTAATTTTAAAAATGATAAAGGCCCAGGACATTGAAAGAGTAATTTCTGAGGAAATTGCTTTGGACTGTCAGAGCCTATTTTCTGCTCCTTGTCTTTTTTTTTTCTTTTTTTTTCCTCTTTCTTTCTGTTCAGGCTCTAGAGGAATGCCTCCAGCATTTGTCAAGCTCAAAATCAGGCATCTCCTGTTTTTGTTCTCAGCATCTGGCACCCAGCAGCTCTCTCCGCCCCACACCCCAGTTGCCTTCCTGTCCATCATGGAAGTTCTGGAGCCCAGTTTTTGAAAACTCCCCTTAAGCCATAATCAGTCCTGATAAGGTGATGGGTGGAGTTGGTAGGAAGGGTCTGAGCAGGAGGAGGACCAAAGGGAAAAGAGAGGTTGCCAACATTTCCAGTAGATGCTGCAGATTTGAGAGCTTGGCATGAGGCTTTCCCTATCCATACCCTGATCTGGCCCCATCAGGCTCAACATATCTCAGGCCCATGTCTCAGATACTTGGTACCTTAACGAGGATCATCTGGCCTCCCTCCTGCTCACTAGTGTGGAGACTTAACCAACCAGAGGAACAGACCTTCTCCGCTGCTTCTTTGCACTTGCACTCTCTAACCTCACTGCCTTCTCTGTTGGCAGGTCCAATGCAGGAGACCGTAAAGGACTTCTGGAGAATGATCTGGCAGGAGAACTCCGCCAGCATCGTCATGGTCACAAACCTGGTGGAAGTGGGCAGGGTAAGCCTCTCCTGCACTTGCCTGGGCAGAGGATGCTGGAGGTGCACTCTTGAACATCTCTCTGTTCCGTGCATTGTGCTAAGTGCCTCCTAGTCAATATTTCACCCTCACAGCGACCTACAAGGGAGATGTCATCACTCCTCTTCCACATTCAAGCAATATCTTTTCCCTTCAAATCCCCTTCATCCCTTTTTCTACCCTCAGTCTCCATTGATGGTGTCATCTCATATCTTGAGGAAGTTAAAACCATCAGTCATGTACTCCCTCATCGTCACACCACAAAGCTACTATCCTACTTGTATCTACAACCATGCTCTTGTTCTTCCCCTCTGCTGTCAGGTTCGACTGTAAGAAATGGCTGTTTTCATTGATCCAAATGGTCAAATATCAACTGTTTCTTATGGCTCAGCCTAACACAACACAGCCATGTCTCTGCCCTTCCAAAGGCAAGCCTAGTGCCCAGATCACAGATTCTACTCAATTTTTTTTTCATTTTTCCCTTTCTCACTTGCAAAATGAGTCTCTTTCTCATTGCCAAATTGTTCCCCTTAGCATACAAACATGCCCAGAACCTCCCATCTTAAAAAGAAAGGAAAAGGTAAATAAAAAGTATTTTCTTGTTCCCACTTTTCTGCCAACCTTTAAAGACTCATAGAGAGGCTCTGTTTCTTCACTCATGTTCTCTTCTACCCACCCAGCGTAGCTCCTCCCTCCATCCTACCAACCGTGATATCGTCGGTATCACTCGCATCCTCCTTCATGTCGACGAATCCAGTCTCCAGTTCTCTCTTCCCATCTTATTCAACCTCAGTGGCATCCAACCCTTCACTCCCTGCTCTTCTTCCTCTGACCTCTAAATCTTGATGTTCTTCAGGGCTCTCAGATCTTGATTTCCCGCTCTGCTCCATCTCAACTCTCTCTGAGGTCGTCCTTAACTACTCTGGGGCTTAGAAATGGGACTGCTGTTCCTAGCTTGCTTTTGCCTACTTGGTTACCTCTGGCATGTGGGTGGGCTGCTGACTTTAAAGGCAAGGTGTACAAACACCAGAATTAAAAGGGCTCTCCACATATCATGTGAACTAACTAAAAAGTGGGCAGGTAAGTTTTTGTTTGGGTAAGAAATAGATAATTCATAAAGATGAATTCTGGCCTCTGATAATGGGAAGGAGAAAATCTGAGCTTTTGTAATCCAATAAAGGGGTATGGACATCTCAGGGCCGAATGAGAATTTAGGACCAGGTGAGACTTTATCCGTGAGTCCATCCTTATCTAGTCCATTACTCAATTTTACAGATGAGGAAACAGACCTGAAGGGGTAGAGTGCCTACCCTGAAGTCACTCAGCCAAAACCCAGGCACAAAATCTGACACGTGACTCTCATTCCAGTGCTTATGGCCACTCCACTCAGATGGTCCTCCAGGTACCCAGGCCCAGGGTGCAGCTACTGTGGACAGAAATGCCAGCCCAGGATTCAGGGATTTGGAGGCAAATTCTAGCCTGTTCTACAATATATCCCACATTGGAAACAGATTTCCCTGATGAACAGACCATGAATCTAAATTTGATTTGAGAAGGAAAGCAGTCTCTTAGAGGAACTCCTGCTAGTGCCAACCCTGTGCCAGAGACTTATTATATATTACTGCAACTTTCAATGATCATAGGCGCCCACATTCCCAGTTGTTATTCATGTGTCCTGGGTTTGCATCCTGGCTCCATCCCTTACCAACAGTTGACCTTGGGCAATTTTCTCAGTCTTCCTACGCTTCCTCGTCTGCAAAATGGGGATAATAATATCTACTTCATAAAGTCATTTTGAAAAGTCATTAAAATAATACATGTAAAGTATTTGCAGAACAATTTGTGAGCTCTGGTAGACATAGTACACAGTCAATACATGTTAGCTATCATTATTGATAGGAAGCTGAGGCTCAGAGAGGTTTCAGCACTTTCTGGGGCTCCCCAGATACTGAGTGTTTGTTAGGACCAAGCAATGAATCCATTTGCCCCCTAAGCCCTGTTACACTATACCAGTATTTCCCTAAGTGGGTTCCATGGGATGCTAGTCTGCAGGATGGTTAGTGAGAAGAGGGTTCCATGGTTAAATACGTTTGGGAAATGCTGTGTCCTCTATGCCCCTTTTGGAGAGTTGCAAAACACAGAACACATTAGCAGTAGCATGCGAAAGAAGCTGAGTAGTCCTGTAGCAAAGCCATCTATTTAACTGTGTAATACAGCATTTCCCAAACTCATTTGACCACAAAGCCTTTTTTTGTTTGTTTTTTGTTTCTTGTTTTTTTACCTAACACCTATTAGCACCCAGCGGAACACACTGTGGGAAATGCCACTCTAGGCCGTGCGGCGTCCCCCGGAATGGTAATCACGCTTTTGTTCTTTTAAGGGGAAAACCATGATCTCTTTTTCATCCATGAGTGTGACTTAAAAGAGTCGACTGGGGAATGGCTTGCTTGCATCCAGGGTCAGAGAGGAGTTGCACATCTTCCCGTGGAACCCAGCACCTACCATCCTTTTCCCAACTAAGAGCCTTTCTCCTTCCAGAACCCCAGTTGCCACCTCTGAATGATGTCCCCCTCCCAACCACTTCTGTTTCCACCTCCTATTTCCCACCTTTTATTCTCATCTTTGCTCAGCTGATAGTACTCAGCTGCTCCACGCTGACAGAGCAGAGAGGGGACTCAGTCAGTCCCCAGCCTGGCCACATGACCTTGGGCAAGTCACCAAACCTCTGAACTTGAGTTTTATTTTCATCTGTAAACTGGGGATAATAACACCCACCTATCTCACCTTGTTCTGTTTGATCACTTAGTGTGATAATGCCTTGGAAAATGACAAGGAGCTTTGCAAAAGCAGGTACTACAATTATTTTTAATGGTTCCAGGGCCTCTGGGAGTGAGCTTGGCTCTGCGCAGCTTGCTGATCCCTAGCCAGCTGTGAACCCTGTGGACTGAAATGCCACCAAATTCACCCTTGGGTTTATTTGAATGGGACTACCAGAAGGGACGGCTGCTCGCACTCAGCCATGTGCTTATGCATCCTCATCTCTGTTCTGTCTCTGTCTCTCACTTGGTCGCAGGTGAAATGTGTCCGATACTGGCCAGATGACACGGAGGTCTACGGAGACATTAAAGTTACCCTGATTGAAACAGAGCCCCTGGCAGAATATGTCATACGCACCTTCACAGTCCAGAAGGTAAGCTTCCCAGCGGCTTTGGGCAGCTTGTCCACCATGAGAGCTGGCTTGTTTGTTCATCCAGAGCACATGGTGACCGAGGGTCTGTTCTATGTCCACCCCATGCTTGGCACCAGGAATAGATCAGCAATCAAGGCAGACATGGATCCTGCTACCATGGATCCCACATCTAGTAGGTGGGACAAACTGAATTCAATAAGCAAATCAATGAAATAACAACACATTGTGATAAAAACCACACAGGAATATGCCAAGGATGGAGATAGAAATAAACAGGAGGATGGGGTGGTAGGAGAGGGCCTCTTTTGGAGAGAATGAAGAAGGAGGAACCAGTGAAGGGTAGAAAGGAAGGAAGAGCTACCTCAGTCAAAGGGGAAAAACATGCAATCTGGAGGGGAAGAAAGATCTCTACCTGTTCAAGGCCTGTGGTCTCAACCAGGGGCATTTTGATCCCCCAAAGAATATTTGTAAAATGTCTGGCAACATTTTTGGTTGTCACAACTTAGGGGAGGAGGGTTAGGATGTTACTGGCACCTAGCGTGTAAAGGCTAGAGATGCTTATAAATATTCCACCGTGTACAGGACAGAGCCCAACAATAAGGGATTATCCAGCCCAAGGCATCAGTATGGTCCAGGTTGATAGACATTGAAGGGAGGCCAGGGCTGTGCAAGCGTGGTAAGCAAGGATGTGATTGCAAATAATAATAGATACATTTATAATTTGCTATATAATCATTACTATTCTACCATTGCTATTATATCATAATGATAGCTAACATTTACTGAGCACATACTAAACCAGGTACTTTTCTAAATGCTTTGCATAGAGTAACTCAGTCCTCCCAACAACCCTATAAGGTCAGTGCTATTATTATCCTCATTTTACAGAAGAAGAAACTGAGACACCAAGAGTTTAAATCAGTTGTCCATAGTTGCCCAGCTGCAAGGTTGGTAGAACCAGGATTCATACCTTGGCCCCTGTAACACATTTCTCTTTCCATTACACCCTAGGTTCCATTTCTCTAAAAGCAACTACTTCAATAAACAATGTGGCCACAGGCCTGAGGATGCAAAAGCACTGGGGACTTATGCGCTTTGAGAGTTGAGCCCTTGAGGCTTAGACAAGTCCTTGCAAGGGCCAAAGTCTGCTCTGCACACTAGAGCCCGCCATACACACAGTACTGTTCCAGCATACAGAGTGGCCCAGGACATTCTGTTTGCTCCTGGCAGCTCCCCTTCAAACCTCCAGACTCCTAAAGTCTCAGGGTCTTTTTCATCTGAATCTTCAGTCTTGGGTGAAAAAGTCAGGAAGTCTGTGAACTCCCTCCACTAAGAGGAGGGGAAACCATTAGGTACTTGGATGTTGCCTTAGGTCAAGTTGTTCAGAAGCAGAGCCTGAGGCAAGGATTCAGGTACACAAGGTATACCAAGGGAGCTCCCCCAGAATAAATTCCTAAAAGAGAGTAGGAAGCAGGAGAGGGAAGGGAACGGGCCAAGCAAGGGCAGAGGCTCCAGAGAAGTCTAGCCTAGAGCTGACCCACAGGGAACCTTAAGAGACCCCAAGGGCTTCTGAGCATTAACTGGGCTTAGCCACCCTCTTCACAGCACTTAAGCAGACACTCGGCAAACATCACCTACAATTTTAGCTCAAAATCAGTTCCTGAGCTGAGAACCTGGAAATAACAAACAGGGAGTGCTGTCTGCCCTTGAAGACAACACAGTCGCACTGGGGAGAGGATCCTTGATAAATAATCATAGCACAGGTGGGAAGAGCTCAAAGGAGGGCTTCCTGGGACTGAATTGATTTGGAGGATGGCATGAAAAAAAGTCCAAGTATTCCTGAAGCTTTCTCCTCTCTCACTTCAGCTCATCCATCACTGCCTTAATCTGGGCTTCTGGTCTCTTCCTCCTAACAGGACTGTTTGCCTCTAGTCCTGCCCTTATGTTAGTTTGGGTTTCCTGGAAGCAGAGCCAGAAGCAGCAGGGGTTTGGGTGCCCTGGCTCATGTGTTGAGGGAGAGTTTGCAGGGGGAAGGCGAGGAGAGAGGTAGGATGGGGTGGGGAAAGGAGCTGAGTGGGGATGTGGCCTCAGCAGAGACTTGCTTCCACCTGACCCCATGGGAGCCTTGGAACATGAATGGTACTACACACTTGGTCCAACCTTGAGGCAAAGAGGCCTCGGGTGCCCCCATTAGAGTAAACAATTTTTCTGGTTCTTCCGGAACATTACTGGTTTTTTCACTGTAAGTCCTGTGTACCAGGGAACCCCTCAGTCCTCGGCAGACTGGGCAAGTGGCGAGCCAGTTGATCACTCTCCCTCTACTATCAGTCACTGAAGGATGTGCCACATCCCAGGGGATAGGGTTCCTCTTCGGCCGAGAACAGTTCCCTTCACAAGAGTGTAAGTGTGAGCTGTGTGCAGCCCCGAGACTTAGAGCATCTAGCGAGTAGTACACTGGGCCAGTGATGAGGATCTGAGTGGGCACCAATAGTGTTCACTCAGCAACCCCCAATACACCCACCTCAATCCATCCTTCATGCAGCAGGATGCAGCCTCCTGAAATGCAAGTCTAATGATGTACTTCCTCTTCTGTCGAACCATCTGTGTAATCTCCCTGAAGCTTCCCAGTGCCTTTGAGATAAAGTCCAAAGGTGCTAATGTAGATTCAAGGCCTTCTGAGATCCAGCCCTCGTCCATTCTCCTGCACCCCTAGTCCTGTGGTCCCCCATGGCCTGTCTTCCACTTGCCTCTAGCATTGCCCTGGGTTGTTAGTGATTCTCTGCCCATGTCATGCTAAGCCCTGTCCCCAGATCTGTGCCCATGCTGTCCGCCTGCCTTGGATTCCCTTCCTTTCTTCCCGTCAACTGGGCAATGCTCACATATCAGTATATTATAGTGATTATAAGAGTGCAGACTTTGGAGGCAGAGAGCCAGGGTTCACATCATCCCTTTACAACTCGAGTTGTACTGTGACCTTGGGCGTGTTACTTAACCTTGCCTTAGCCTCAGTTTCCTGATTCATTAAATGGAGATAAAATTATAGGGATTGGTATCAGGATTAAATAAGTTAGGACATTGAAGTGTTCAGAAAAGTGACTGGTACAGAGTAAATGCTTAGTTAATGTTAGCTGTTATTTTCACTACTTGTTTCAAGATTCAGGTCAAGCATCGCCTCCTCCAGAAAGCCTTCTCTGATTTTTCCTCTCCACAGATCAAGTTAGCAGGCACTCCTTGATACACTTCAATAGAATTACCCACTTGGGCATCTGCCTCCCCCACAAGGCCAGGGATAGGAGCTGTGTCTTTTATTCTCACCTTCCTAGTACCCAGCACAAAGCTGGGGACAGGTCACACTTGGTTTATGATTTTTTAACTGAAGGAATGAACAATCAAACAGATTCTTCCTATTCAGTGCTCTCTGGGTATCTGCAGGAGATTCCTAAGTAGAAAAATAGTAAAATCCAATAAAAAATTTAAAAAAAAAGAAAAATAGTAGGTAGCAGGAACTGTCTAAGCAAAGGCTTAGAAGTGTGACCTGACCATGGAATACTCAGAAAACCACGATTGGGCCTGGAGTGTGTCTCTGTGAGGGGTGGGGCGGGGTGTGAAAGGGGAGGGGAATGTCCCACTCTGCCTCCATCAGTCAGAGAATCTCTGCTTTTGTTTGTTTTGCATCTTACCTAATCATTCTAAGAATATAATTAATGAAGAAGCCTACTAAGTTTCATAAACTTTGAGAGCCACACAGACTAGCATAGTCAAGGCCAGAACTATGGGACATCAGACCTCAATCACTGAAAGGCCTCAGATTCCAGGGGAAACAATTTGGACTCAGTCTTCAAGGCTCACATTTCTTTGAATCCCTTCTACTCCATATACCTCCTATAAATACTGGTCAAAGAAGGTCCCCTGGGGTGCTCTATGGCCCTCTTGGGCATTCAGAGTGTGTATGAGCACACTCAAGACTCTGAGGCATCCTGCAATAAAGCCATCGATTTCATTTTCTCAATCCCACGTTTCCCAAATGTAACTGATTACAGAATTGCTCTATGCAGTAACACCTATTAACCCTGCGAGGGCCCTGTCCCTGCTGGAGGTTCCTCAGTGCAGCAGCTGTGGCTCCACATATTGCTGGGCTGGGTATGTGAGGGCAGCAGCTGGAAGAACAGAGGCCTGTTCTCTCCTCAGAAAGGCTACCATGAGATCCGGGAGCTCCGCCTCTTCCACTTCACCAGCTGGCCTGACCACGGCGTTCCCTGCTACGCCACTGGCCTCCTGGGCTTTGTCCGCCAGGTCAAGTTCCTCAATCCTCCTGAAGCTGGGCCCATCGTGGTCCACTGCAGGTAAGTCAAAGGTCCTCCACCTACCCAAGTGTGCCTCTGCACCTCGGTTTCCTTGGGAGGGACAGGTTATCTTTTCAAGTAGCTTTACTCTTAAAGACTCCTCTTCCTGTGTCCCCCATGCCCAGTGATTTCTGATAAGATTTGGTGGCAAGGTCACCCAACAAGAGTAATAGCAGTGTTACTTCTGGTGCCTGGAAACAGTGGTCATCAGGGGGGTAGAGTGAACACAGACAGCATCTGGTACATCAAGTGCACCGTACCCACATTATTTAATTTACTTCTCGTCCAGCCTTAAGAGATGGACATTATTATCATTCCCATTTTACAGATACAAAAACTGAAGCACTGAGAAGGTAAACACAGAGTGGGGATATTTAACCTGCTTTTCTCCAGACACTCGCCCTCAGCTCCTTGACATGGCAGCAGTGTGCCTTGGTAGAAGCATGCTTCTTTTCATTTCTATTATTTTCAAAATCAATTGCCAGCCTGCAGGGTCCCTCATAGAGAGAACTGGACAGCAGCAGGTTTCACCTTATTATGGAGAAGGGATATTTTCAGCTCTGACCTAGAAAGTCAGAATGAGAATGAGTGGCACGTCTTTCAGTCCTCCCGAATGGAGATGAAGTGTCATGTCAAGGGTGTCCAGAATTGGAGGATGATGGACTTCCTGACCTGAAGGCCAGCCAGCTGGCATCCCCCTCCTTCCCAATGCCTCTCTCTTCCAGTATGACCTTGGGCCAGCCCCTCTTTTCAGACCCTGGATGCTTGAGTTATCACATCCCTGCCCTGGCAGTGTTTGTGTCAGTCAGGAGATCCAGGAAGACTCCGTAAGTGTGGATGTCTCAGAGCCAGCTCCCGCCTCATACAGCATCCATTTATCTTCCCAGCAATAGTAGCTACACAGCCCCATTTCACAGACAAGGCAAGTGAGGATGAGGAGGTAACCCTCATCACAGCCCCGGACTCTCTAAGTGTTCTGCATGAACGCTCCACTTTATATCTCACAGCAATCCAAGGACAATAGAACATTAACTCCCCTATCTCCATATCCCAAGGAGAACCCAGAGCAAGGGTTCGGGAGAAAGAAAGGCAATGGCAGGTGTTTATCAGGCCCTCTGTGCATGATGGTTCTATGTGGTATGCATCTCCACAGCAGGTCATCTTAAGGCATCTGAGCAGAGTGGCACCCATTCCTGGAGCTGTTCTGAACATTATTAATAAATGGGTTGGCTAAGTATGCTAAGTGTCTAAGAGAGAATTCCTGACATAGTAGGCACTCTAAAATATCATTCTCTGCCTCTTAATGTTTTCTCTCCCTCCCCAGATTATTAATCCTCCAGGAAAGGAACAATGTTTTCATATTCCTACTCCTAATCCCAGCATCTACTGCATGATAGATTTTCAATAAATATTTGTTGAATATAATAGCCATTATTTATTGAGAAATTACTGTGTATCCAGGCACAAAGAAATTTGTATGCATTATGCATTTTAATTGTAATTTCATGCAATTTATACATATTGTGCTATTAATGCTGTAAGGTGGATCTATTCATTATTATCAACATCTTTTTATAGACGAGTATTGAAGCCCAGAGAGGTTAAGTCATTTGCCTGAGGTCACACAGCTAGTAAGTAATAGAGCCAGGATATAATCCCAGGGGTCTCTTCCGATATCCTGTGTTGAATTACTGTGTGATGCTGAAATAAACACAGCTCCATCCTCACAGGGACCCTGTAGGAAGGTATGTTAAATGCATCAGAAATCTGAAGCTAACAGACACTAGGCAACTTGGTCACCACAGATAGTTCCAAAATTCAAAACCAGATTGTCCTGGTTCTTTATACTAAAGCATGTTGAGTATGAACATTGAAGAAAAAAGCAGATGAGTGACCCCTTATACTCCCTCTCAGATACACAGGCCAAGCCTCTTGAGTCTCTGCATCTGGATTTTTGGGACTAGGTTCTGAAGCAAACATAAGTCAGACTTCACTGTATTCAAACCATGAAATTTTACCATGAATGAAAACTCTGCTTCCAGCAGATTCTTGTAGACAGTGGTGGAGACTGGCCTGTGCTCTTGGGATTTATAATCAGCCAATACTGCTTTTCATCTCGTTCCATCTCTCTTCCTCTCTGTATTTCTTTTGACATCCCCATTGTTAGACAAATACATTTGTTTCCATGAGAAATGCAAAATGTGAAAATGCAGTGGAAGGGGGCCTTCTCGACAGGCCGCCTGGCCTTCCCTTCCAAAACTACACATGTGCAAGGCACATGTCCTGTGTGCCTCTTGGTCAGCACTGATACAGAAAAAGCTGGCTGTCACCTGTAGAGTCTCATTGAGTTCCCTTGCTATTTGGTTCTTGGTTTGAGATCCTTCTAAAGAAGCCATTAGTGACCACAAATCAAGTATGTATCAGGAAACTTTATCCTTGACAGGGGTCTCCACACGGCCAGCTGCTCCAGTTCGATGGCGCTCTTGCTTAAACAGCTGCAGGTGGAGCCAGAGGCCGGGTTTTGAACATGGCGCTTCGCCAACCACTCTGCCTTGGGGAAAGCTGAGAGGACTCTAGTTTCTGTCCTGTCATTCACCTGCCCTCTGTTCTCTCTCCTCCTCCTTTGCTTCCATTCATCAACCCATTTGCTAAAGAAGAAAAAAGAGGAGAAAAGAAGGGAAGAAAATAGGAAAGCCATGTCTATAATGCATCTCCAGCATGCCAGGAGCTGAGCTGCGTGTTTTATACTATATAGATGTATTATTTCATCCATCCCACCAGGAAACTGCATATATATGTGTGGTTTGAGCATGCATTAGAAACTATAAATATTAAGAAAGGAAATGTGGGGACATGTAATCTAGAGCCAGACTGCCTGGGTAAAAGTTCCAGCTCTACCTCTTCCTAGCTGTGTGACCTCAGTTAGGCAAGGTAAGCCCTCTGTGCCTGTTTTCTCACCTGTGAAATGAGATGAGAAACTTCTTAACAACCTCATAGGGAAATCTACAGGTAACATTTATAAAGCGTGTAGAACAATGGCATTTTGTAAGCACTGAATAACCGTTTGCTGAATGACTACATCCAAGTCAGTCAGTCCTGATAAAATAGCCCTCAGAACCAAGGACTACTCTCTCGTTTTACAAAGGAAACCACTGGGGCTTCATCTGCGTCTAGTTGCTTACTCAAGATCTCCCAGGAATGTTGGGAATCAGAGTGTTCTGTCTGACTATGCAGCATACGGACTCTCAACAGGACCCTTGGGGATAGGGCTGAATGCTAGGGGCCTCCCCAGGGCAGGCGCCCCTACCAAGATACCTAACACGGACCATACCTCTCTTCCAGTGCTGGGGCCGGGCGGACTGGCTGCTTCATTGCCATTGACACCATGCTTGACATGGCCGAGAATGAAGGGGTGGTGGACATCTTCAACTGCGTGCGTGAGCTCCGGGCCCAGAGGGTCAACCTAGTGCAGACAGAGGTGAGTCCTAGGGGACAAGACGGTCACCTGTAGCCCTGGCCAAGGAGAAACATGATAGAACTGAGAGACCCACAGGTGGGGGCCTCCTATTGAAAGGGACCTGGGTGGGATAAAAGCAGGAGGGAATAAACACATGGCTTACTATGGTGAGACCACTGTGGAAGCTAGGGTACACCAGCCAGCCCTGGAGGGCTACAGTGCAGGGAGTTCTACCAATGAATGGCGGTGAGTTCTCCATCTCTGAGGGCATCCAAGCAGGGACAGAATCACAAATTTCAGGGATTATTTGAATGGCATTCTTGCCTCAGGTGAAGTGATTGATAGAGAAGGAAAGAGAAGGACTGGCATTTATTCAGTGACTACTACGTGCCAAGAGATGGTACAGTCACTGCAGGGAATGGTTTAATCAACAAAGTCATTGAGTACTTAAGCTGGGTGCTGGGATTTCAAGAGACATAATACACAGCCCCTGGCCTCAAGGGAGAAGCAGACCTTCAGGCACCTCTCTGTGCAGTTAGAGAGCCCAAGACCTAGGAGTAATGAGAGGAATTAATCTTTATCGTTGTGTACCTACTGTGAGCCAGGCAGCATACATTCTTTCTATACACGATATTTTTTTCTTCTCCTCAAAACCGGTTATGGTGTAGCTCTTAGTATTAGATCCATTTTATCAGTGAGGAAGAAGTTGTGTCCCTAAGACCTCACATACCAGACTGTGGTAGAACTTGGGTCCATGGGACCCCAAAGATTCCTGCTTTTTCACCAGAACCACAAACTCGCTAACCATTTTTTTTCTGTTTATCCCACTCTGTGCCTTGGCTTATGATTCCTGTAATGAGCCCATCTTCTGTTCTAGTGAAGGCTGTGGGTCCCTGGGCAATCAGAGCTGGGACAGATAAGGAACAGCGCACATCATCAGTCCTGCAAAGGGAAGTGACCCATGGCTTTGGCACAGCTAGGCCTTCTGACTCTGCAGTGAATACCATCACTGATTGGTTTACACATATAGGCTCTGAGCTAACTCTTACACAGGCCCGTCTTCAGGCTTCTAGTGTTAAAGCCAAGAAGACTGCTTTATCTGTTCTCAGGTTCATGCATGCAGAAGGCAGGCTTGCTGGTTGGAGTCAGACATAGGGGGAGACATATTCAAATGCAGGTGTATCACAGAGCATCTGGATAAGCACCCTTTATAGACAAACTGACCAGGTTCTGCAGAAAAAGGTCACTCAACAAACATTTATCTAGGCCCTAGAAGTAATACCAACTTCTGCCTGGTGGATTAACAAATGGCTTTCCAGAAAGAATGGAACATTAAAGATATAGAAAAAAGGGAGTGGAGTTTCAGGAGGCGAGAACAGCAGGTACAAAGAATTGAGATGGGAGAAGACAGGACACATGTTTTGGGAGCAGATTGTGAGACAAAGATTTGCGGGCAGATAATTTGCTTGGAAGGTGATCCCAAGACACACTGGCTGGTGAGTGGGAAAGTGAGGCAGAGCAGGGAAGGAAACAAACAAAGCCTACTTTAGCAAGCTGTCAAACCCTGTAGACAACTGGAGCCTGGTTCTGCTGGGGAACTCGGAGTGTGGAACATGCGTGTCCAAGTGCTTCCACCTAAATGGAGAGGGAAATTAGATTTCTATCCTCAACTCTCCATTGTCATTGCTTCAGGGTTACTTTCCACACAGCCCAAGTATCCTCTCTGCCTTAAGCAGAGAATCCCAGGTGTTTGCAGCGAGCAGCCTTCCTTAGGTAAAGGTGAAAGCTGAGGGGACAATGGAGTGGACACCGAAAGTGCCTACTACAGCATGTCTAGAAGTTTTTAATTGTATCAGTGACTATGCTATTCCATCTTAAATAAGAAACATAGCTCAGGTGACCACTAGGAAACATGGAAATCTGGCCCTTTGGGTTACAATAGGAAAAGTAAGAATTCTGCCTAAGTGCCTGAGAGAGAATTCCTGACATATAGTGGACACTCTAAAATATCATTATTCTCTGCCTCTTAATGTTTTCTCTCCCTCCCCAGATTATTAATCCTTCATGAAAGGAACAATATTTTCATATTCCCACTCCCAATCCCAGCATCTATTGCATCATAGATTTTAAACAAAGATTTGTTGAATAGCCATTATTTATTGAGAAATTACTATGTATCCAGGCACAAAGCAATTTGTATGCATTATGCATTTTAATTGTAATTTCATACAATTTATACATGTTGTGAAATTTATACATATTGATAAATCATGTCTATTCTTCATAGCCACAACACTAAATGTGGACAGCAAAGTCTCAGGCCGCTATTCTTACCTGGCACCCCATTCCGTCTCCCCTGCCTTTGCAGGAGCAATACGTGTTTGTACACGATGCCATCCTCGAAGCGTGCCTCTGTGGCAACACTGCCATCCCTGTGTGTGAGTTCCGCTCTCTCTACTACAATATCAGCAGGCTGGACCCCCAGACGAACTCCAGCCAAATCAAAGATGAATTTCAGGTATGAGCAAATCCCAGACAGTGACTATCTTAGTCAGTTTGGGTTGTTATAACAAATTTCCATAGATTGGGTAGCTTAAATGATAGACATTTATTTATTACATTTCTGGGGGCTGAGAAGCCCAGTATCAAGCTTCCAGTGAATCCAGTGTCTGGGGAGGGCTCACTTCCTAACGCAGACAGCCTTCTTCTCGTTCCATATTCACATGGTAGAAAGTAGAAGCAGCCAGGTCTCATATTTCTTTTTTTATTTTTTATAGAGAGAGGGTCTCACTATGTTGCCCAGGCTGGTCTTCAACTCCTGGACTCTAGCAGTTCTCCCACCTCAGTCTCCCAAATTGCTGGGATTACAAGCATGAGCCACCACACTCGGCCCTACATGTTTCTTCTTCTTCTTCTTTTTTTTGAGACGGAGTTTCGCTCTTGTTACCCAGGCTGGAGTGCCATGGCACGATCTTGGCTCACCGCAACCTCCACCTCCTGGGTTCCGGCAATTCTCCTGCCTCAGCTTCCCAAGTAGCTGGGATTACAGGCACACGCCACCATGCCCAGCTAATTTTTTGTATTTTTAGTAGAGATGGGGTTTCACCATGTTGACCAGGATGGTCTCGATCTCTTGACCTTGTGATCCACCCGCCTCGGCCTCCCAAAGTGCTCGTTTCTTCTTATAAGAGCTCTAATCCCATTCACGAGTTCTCTGTGCTCATGACCTAATCTTCTTCCAAAGTCCCAATCTCCTAATACCATCACATTGCGGGTTAAGATTACAGCATGGATCTTGGGAGGGATGAAAACTTAGTCCATATAGTAACCCAACCAACTTCAGCGGCTCCGTGCACATTTGTGGGGTTTTCATCAGGACAACGGATATGTCTATGCTCTTTCATTGTCTGCTTCTCTAGGAAGCTGCAGAATCTGTTCCAGAACACAAAATGCATAGCCATGAGCAACTATGCACTCAGGGATTGCTGGTGCTTGTTTTTAACTGTGATTATGTTTTTTAACTGAGGTCTTATTCAGTTCTAGTCCACGTTGTGAATGGAGATAAATTTATACAAAGAGGTGTCAATTTCATACTCCTTTATCCCTGGAGGCACTCAGGTTCTCTCAGTGTGTTTTCAGTACACTCTTACTACTAAAAGTGGGGTCTGCAGTTGGCCAACATGATGAAACCCCGTCCCTATTAAAAGTACAAAACAAATTAGCCAGGCGTTGTGGCACATGCCTGTAATCCCAGCTACTCAGGAGGCTGAGGCAGGAGAATCGCTTGAACCAGGGAGGTGGAGGTTGCAGTGAGCCGAGATCGCGCTACTGCACTTCAGCCTGGGTAACAGAGCAAGACTCTGTCTCAAAAAAAAAAAAAAAAAATTGTGGTCTGGAGACCAGCAGCATTGGCTTCACCTGGGAACTTGTTATCAATGCAGAATCTTGGACCTCAGCCAGACATAGTGAATGACAGCCTGCAATTTAACAAGATCTCTGAGTGATTTGTATGCATGTTTAGCTTTGAGAAGCACTGTCCTAGAACATAGCTCAGGCATACCAGATCGATCCACACCTGGAAGCCACATGGTCAGAGCTGTGGGAACATTGATTGGTCTAAGAGGCCTGGATATGAATCACTAAGTAAGGTAAAGCCAGAGTTTAGCCCTTTATCCCAAGACCACTGTCAGGATTCCACCTGGGCAACAGGAGCGGAGAACCAGGTATGAGAAAGCAAGGAAGCTCCAAGTGTTGCCTCAAGTCATTGGGCAAATGCCAGACCCATTGTTCCACAGACAGATACCCCAGGCAGGCCAATACCTTAGTAATCCCTAAAACAAACAGCCATTATTGATTTGAAGTAGAGACAGAGTGCTAACTGAGGGAAGGATGGAGGGCACAGAACCCTGATCATGGCACATAACATCTAGTCCACTGGCTAGAGCAGTTCAGCTCTCGCCTCAGACTTGCAAGACTTACTCTGCAGAGCCCAAACACAGCGATTTCCCAGACCTGTTTTGAGTTGCCCCTTGGGGGTCTCATCTGTCCTGAGCAGTTCATCCAGGCATCCTTCCATACTCAGCCTTCTCTCCGAGTGTTGGGAAATCATTTCCCCCATTCCATGACAATGCAAGTGATGTTTAGCACTCAGCAGGGATTCCCTATCCCCACCCCTCCATATGCCCTCCTGGATGGCCCGCCCTTTTTTTTTTTAATATTGAATGGGAGTCTCACTCTGTCGCCCAGGCTGGAATACAGTGGTGCAATCTCAGCTCACTGCACCCTCCACCTCCTGGGTTCAAGCAATTCTCCTGCCTCAGCCTCCAAAGTAGCTGGGACTACAGGTGTGTGCCACCATGCCCGGCTAATTTTTGTATATATATATTTTTTTTAGTGGAAACAGGGTTTCACCATATTGGACAGGCTGGTCTCGAACCCCTGACCTTATGATCTGCCCACCTCGGCCTCCCTGCCCTACCCTTTAATGCAACACTGGCTGAGCTGAACCACTTAGTTCATGTGGTTGGCAGGTACTATGAGACTGTCTGAGCCTGTGTGTGGGTGTGCTGCTTCTGCAGCCTTGTTATTTTGAAGGTGTCACACAGCTTACACACCCTGTAGCAGTGAGCAAGAGAGGAAAGAACATCACCATGGAAGAGGAATGGGTCCTGGGAAAGGGACAGTGGGGCTTCACTTGGAGGGTGGAGATAGGCAAGTTGGGCTGAGTTGGTACATCACTGTCTCCCTTGCTCAGGGGCAACCATAGGAGCAGGGCCTATCTATCCACCTTTGTGCCCCCACAGACCCTCAACATTGTGACGCCCCGTGTGCGGCCCGAGGACTGCAGCATTGGGCTTCTGCCCCGGAACCATGATAAGAATCGAAGCATGGACGTGCTGCCTCTGGACCGCTGCCTGCCCTTCCTCATCTCGGTGGATGGAGAATCCAGCAACTATATCAACGCGGCACTGATGGATGTAAGTGTGCCCTGGCAGAAAGCTCCTAGCTGGCATTCAAGGACAAATATTCTTCCTGAGGTGGAAGTGGCTGGACCTCATGGCCCTGACCCCACCAGCCAGCCCCCCTTTTCCTGATATTCTGGTCCCAAGGACCTTTGCTCCACCTAAAGGCTCTGGTCCAAATCTAGACACAAGCTGAGCTCTTGGCTCCTTTTCTCATACAAAGAGCCTGGAAAGAATAGACCAAAAGCTTAAGGTGGTGCCTGTGATGCCATGGCAAGTGTACAGGCCTGCCTAGCAACCCCTTCTTCCCCACAGAGCTGACTCTCAGCCTGAAGTGTAGTAAAGCAAGTGTTCTCTATGCTTGGCCTGAAACATGGGATGCTCTTTCCTGGGGTCAAGGCCAACAATGTCTCTGACCTCTAATCCTCCTGAAGTTTCTCCCCCAAGGACCTGGGTGTTTGTTAGAGGAAGGAAAGTGATGGACAGTCAATGCCTATCCCAGCTCTCTAGGGGTCTGCCCTGACCTCTGCCCACCGTGTGCCTATAGCCTCTGTAAAAACCCTAGCTCTGGGTTCAGAATCAGGGAGTCTTGGCTTGGTCATATAGCTGGAGGTGGAGAGAAGGCCTTTGGCATTAGAGAGCTTTCTAAAGTCAATGAGTACATGTATGTGTATATGTGCATGTCAGTGTGCATTATGTGAGTGTGGTACGAAATGGGGTCTAGGGGGTGCAGCCACACTTGCAAATTCCTCCTAGCTTTGTCTCCCACTTCTCCCAACACCCCCTCCCTGCCTTCCTCATCCAGGCAGAGATCAAACAAGCTCCTGGCCTCTACTTAATAGGTTAGATACTGCCTGGAGTCAAATGCCTTCTGCCAAGCTCTGATGCTGATTGTGTTCTCTTTGTCCACAGGGCATTTCTCCTGTGAGCCATCACTGGGGCCTTTGCCTTTCTTCTGTTAAAAAAAAAAAAAGTCCTTATCTGTATTCCAGCTCAGTCGGTGCATTATCTGGTAACCATAGCAGCTTTGCTCCTAGCAGAAAAATATGAAGTCCTCTGGGTTAATTTTTAATGTTTCCCCTGGTAAAGGATGATGTTATCCATGAAATGGATTGCCGGCTGATCCCTGAAACCCAGCAGGAGCACGGATCTCGAACATATTTTCAGATAAGGCTTTGTCAGGCATGCTGGCCTAATAGAGCATTTATCACAGAGACAGGGAAAAAGAAAACTAACATTCACTGAGCGTTGGGCACCATGTCGGGCCCTGGACTTGCACTGTCTCATTTTGCATGTGAGTACTTGTATCCCCATGTTCTGATGAGGTCCTCACGGTCAGAGTATTTTCATCACTTGCTCAAGGTCAACTAGCTCAGCAATGGGGAGCCAAGGAATGGAGCCCCAAGTCTGTTAACACTCAAAGCCTTGATTTCTTTCCACATCTGGAAATGGCTCAAAGACAGTGCTGTCTACAGGTAGAGAGTATGGCTTTTGGAAAATAAATAATTTGCCTCTGCCCACCCAGACCCCTCCTCCGAACATTCCACTGGCCAGGAGAAGGCCCTCAGCAGAAGGGCCCCCCTAATGCATGCATGACATCCATGTTTGCAAGGCTTTGTCCTGCCTTTTCCAGGGTCTTTGCAATCTTTCATCATCTTCCTTCTCGCTTGTAACTCCACTGAGAACAGCTTTGACTCCCACAGAAACCATCTCTTGAGAAAACATATCGAGAGCCGGAGCCACTGATGAGGTGGAGAATCTCCCCAGTCTTTTCAAACACATTACTTCAGGTGGTGTGAAAACAGGGCTCTGGTTGAAGCTGCCAGACCCCCACTGTCCATTTTCTCCGGGCCTCTGTTTCCCTATCTGCAACATGGGGCTGAATTTATTGTCTTATTCGCCGGAACGATGCTGTCTAGCGTGTGCCAGCCACAATACCAGTGCCATGATGTAAACGAAGGTCAGGGGTGTTTCTGCCCTGCCAGTAGGCTTATGTTCAGGCTGTTTGGTGGTCTTTTCACACACAAATCTCATTCAATCTATGCAACAATCATTCCTTTGGATTTATGAGTTCAGTTTTCCAGGTGAAAAATATGAGCTCAGGAATCATCTAATAACTTGAGAGTACTTAGCACCCACCCTGCCGGGGGAAAAATAAAAAAAGTCTGCGAATGAATGAATGGGTGAATAGATGGACAGATGGATGACTCATAACTTACAAGTGGTAAAGCTGTCCTTGAACCCCAGGTCTATTGGACTTAATACATGTATACTTTCCACTGCCCACCTTGCCAGGCCAGCTCAGCCCCTCATTCTAGCCTGGAGGCAGAAAGTAGCCTGCGGGAGACTCTGCCTCAGGCCCTCCCAAACCCTCCTCTATCATCATGAGCACAGGGACTCGGCCAATCCTTTACATCCCAAGAAGTGTCTTGACCAGCAGAGCAACAAATCTGCATCTGAAATCTTTCATTTCATATTGTAATTATGATTATTTGCTGAGCTCCAGGGCATAAATAATTTATTTGGATAATCCCCATCCAGGTGACACTTTCCTAATGAAATGTCTTAGTTTGGAGGAGAATGTGTTCATTATGAGATGGTCCCCCTTTGCCGCCAGGGCATGGAGAGATAAAAGAACAGGCAGGTGCTTTGTATAATCTATTTGGCAGGCTCGAGAGCCTCTGGCCTCAGTCCGGGCCTCATCATCATCAGAATATCGCTGATGGATGTGTAATTTACGAAGCCTCCGTCTTGTCTTTGTCAGAGTCACAAGCAGCCTGCCGCCTTCGTGGTCACCCAGCACCCTCTACCCAACACCGTGGCAGACTTCTGGAGGCTGGTGTTCGATTACAACTGCTCCTCTGTGGTGATGCTGAATGAGATGGACACTGCCCAGGTAGGAGGAGGCTGAGCCAAGCTCTAGGTGGGTCGGGGGGCGGGCAATGCTTTAAACCTGGAGGGAGAGCCCTTCATAGCCGCTGCCTGCCACATCTGCCTCAGCTAGCTGTCCTGTAATAAGCACTGTCTGACCATGAGCATCAGGCAAGCCATTCTGCCTACAGAGGGTCCTGTCACCTCCCCCCAGACCTCCAGCAGAGACTCCCCCTGCCTATGGGTTTTGTCCAACTCCCCTCCCAGGACCAGACTCTGTTGCTCCATCTCACAAGCATTTGATTATTGTCTTGCTCCAAATCACACAGAGCTTGCAGAGTCAGGAGGCTGCCTCTTCCAGCCCTGACTAATACCCAGATGCTGGCCACACTCAACTCCCTTCCCCCTCTGCAATGCAGCCTATACCAACAGAGCCTGGGACTTGAACCTTGGACACTTTACCCACTGACCATCCCACCAAGCCCCAGGTCCTCACAGTTGACCCTTGTGCCCTGGCAGGCTTCCTGCCTTAGCCCCTCTGGTCTGACAGCTCCAAGCATCATGTGCCTACAGTACATCCCCATACTCAGGACATGTATCTTGGGATAATTTCTGGATTTCTTCAAAGCAGTGAATGTGCCCTACAGGAGGGCAGCCATTCTAGGGTGGGAGAGGTAAGAATGGTCCTTCAGATTTTTAAAAATCTATCCTTTCACTGCCGTGAATAAAACTCAAAGTAACAACGCATTCCCATGTGAGCACTGGCCTTGTGCAGGCCTTGGATGGGAATAAAAAAATTTAAACAGATCTGAGCTATAGTTTCAGCCCTTTAAAAGCTCATGGTCTTGCTACAGAGACAGATGAGCAAATTGTCCCAACCTCATGTGGCTGTGTGATAATAGAGGTCAGCAGTGAAGTGCTGTGTTGGCCAGGAGCAGGGAGCAATTAATTCTGCCCAGAGGGTGAGAGAAGACTTCAAAAAGAAGGTGACTTTGGCCTTGAAGAAGGCAGGGAGCTTTGGGTATATGGAGGTTGAACTCACCGGGAAAAGACATTTCAGGCAGAAGGAACAGCAGAGGCAAAGGTGAGGCTGGAGGTGAATATATGTACACTTACTTGCAGAACAGCTTATGTTCTAGTGTGGCTGGGCCTGGGGTATATCAGAAGGAGAAGAATGTCGTGAGGCTGAAAAATGCTGCAGAGCCCAGGTTGCAGAGAGCTCCCGGTGCAAGGCTCTGGAGCTGGGGTCTCAGATGGCAGCATAGCAAGCATCAGACTTTTACTTTGTAAACAACAGAACCCTTTCTATGAATAAAAGCTTTCGTGCAAGCCCAATGTATGAAACAGGTATGATCAAGAGCTGCTCATGATGAAGCAGTAGGTAGGGGTTGGGGTTCCACCCACACCGCTCTCTCATTTTCTCTTGGCACCCTTGGAGGGGTTAGTCCTTTGTGGGACCCGTGGAGTTTGCAGGAGCACAGAAATACCTCTGAGTAACTGGAGGGTTAACAGTGGTGTAACAGAGCCAGAGTTCCTGTGAGAAAGTTGGGTCTGGAGGGTGGGCATCGTGTCTCATGCCTGTAATCCCAGCACTTTGGGAAGCCAAGACAAGAGGATTGCTTGAGGCCAGGAGTTCAAGCCCATCCTGGGCAACACCATGAGACCCTGTTTCTACAAAAAAAAAAAACAAATTTTTTTTATTAGCCAGACGTGGTACCATGTTTCTTTAGTCCCAGTTACTCAGGAGGCTGAGGAGGGAGGATTGCTTGAGCACTGCAAGGCTCAAGTGAGCTATAATCCCACCACTGTATTTCAGCCTGGGTAACAGTGCAAGACTCCATATCTATTCATATTCTCTCTCTCCCTGTCCTAGACTGGAGTGCACTGGTGCGATCTTGGCTCACTGCAACCTCTGCCTCTCAAGTTCAAGCTATTCTCATGCCTCAGCCTCCCAAGTAGCTGGGATTACAGGTGCATACCAACATGGCTGGTTAATTTTTGCATTTTTGGTAGAGAAGGGGTTTCACAATATTGGCCAGGGTAGTCTCAAACTCTTAACTTCAAGTGACCCATCTGCCTCAGCCTTCCAAAGTGCTGGGATTACAGATGTGAGCCACCACAACCACACCTGGCCAACCTCATCTCTTAAAAGAATTTTTTTAAAGTATTGCAAAACAAGATAAGACTAAAAAGTAAACCAGGTCTGAGGACCCAGTGCAGGTAAAAAGCTGGACGAAACACCTGGAAACCAGGAGACCAGGGAGGAGAATGTTTCAAATATGCAGAAAATAAAGGTAGTTTTCTGAACTGCAGAAGTCTCCAGGAGGTGAGAGTATTTGAACTGGATGTGAAAACATTTCCAGACTTAACTCCACAAGGTTTAGGGAGCAGATGCGGGTGGGAGGTGAACGAGAAGGAAAGTTGAAGATAATGGCAGGATGCTGAGTCTGGGCAATTAAGTATCCAGGAATACAACTGATGAAAATGGGAAAGGCAGGAAGGTGGGGAAAGGCCGTGAGAAGAGCAGACAAGCAGGGAATGAAACTGAGTGCAACTTGGGGATGTGCCTGTGAGAGACATTCCTGAGAGTCCATTGATTCAGGCAACCCCTATTTGTTGAGCAGCTGCTATTTGCTGGAAGCTATTCTAGGTGCTTGGAATGCATCAGTGAGCAACACAGACAAAGCGAGGCCTTAAAAAATTCCTCTCTCTCATGCCACTTCTGTTCTAAGGGGGGAGACAGATAATAAGCAACCACACTCTCTAATGTGCTCAATTATATGTTAGGAGGTGACACGAGTCTTTGGAAAAAGACAAACAAGAGGGCAGGGCAGTAAAGATCAGAAGGGTGGATCTGGGACATGGGATGTCATTGCAATAGGATTGTCAAGGTGGGCCCTATGGGGAAGAAAACATTTGAACACAAACCTGAAGCAGGTGAGAAAGTGAGCCATGTGACTCTCTCAGGAGAGCATCACAGGCAGAGGGACATCTGCACCCAGGCTGCAGGGTAGGCATGCACCTGGTGCCCTTGAGGAACAGCACAAAGGCCAGGGGCAGAGCAGCACAAATGTGGGGAAAACAGCAGAAGGTGAGGTCAGAGGGCTGTGGAAGTCACAGAAGAACTTGGGCTTTCATTCTCAGAGAAAGAGAGCCATGCACATGTTTGAAGCACATGTTTGAAGCAGAGGAACATAATTTGCCATTTTTTTAATAAAAGCATCCCTCTGGCTGCTGTGTTGAGAATAGACTGTTGGTGCAAGAATGGGCAATAGTGGTTTCTGAAATGGAAGCAGAGAGAACAGACAGGAGACCACTATGATAATTCAGGTGGTAGGTGAGGTTGGCCTGAACCCAAGGGTAGCAATGGATTCTGAAGGTAAAGCCAACACTACGTCCAGACAGATTGAATATGGAATAAGAGACAGAAAGATGACTCAAGGGCCAGGCATGCCTATAATCTTACTTAGAGCTTTGGGAAGCCAAGGAAGGAGGATCACTTGAGGCCAGGAGTCGAGGCTGCAAGTTAAAGACCATTCTAGAAAACACAGTGACACCCTATCTCTACAAAATAATTTTTTGGGGGAGACAGAGTATTGCTTTGCTGGACAGTTTGGAGTGCAGTGGCACAATCTCAGCTCATTGCCTTTTCCCGGGTTCAAGAGATTCTCCTGCCTCAGCCTCCTGAGTACCTGGGATTACAGGCATGTGCCACCACAGCCAGCTAATTTTTGTATTTTTAATAGAGATGGGGTTTCACATTGTTGGCTGGCCTCGATCTCCTGACCTCAGGTGATCAGCCCATCTAGCCTCCCAAAGTGCTGGGATCACAGGCATGAGCCACTGCACCCAGCCATACAAAATAATTATAAATGAACTGAGCATAGTAGTCCCTGCCTATAATCCTAGCTACTTGGGAGACTGAGGCAGTAGGTTCTCTTGAGCCCAGGAGATCAAGGCTGCAGACAGCTGTGATTGCACCATTGTACTCCAGCCTGGGGCGACAGAGCAAGACCCTGTCTTTAAAAAAAAAAAGAGAGAAATCAAGAATAATCCCAAGAAGATTTGGGCCCTGAGCAATAGAAGGGTAGAAACTGAGATAACTATAAAAATAAATGAATTCCCATGAAACAGACAGTTCTGGAACATTCCCTGCAGACTTTTGGAGTCTGAAGGCATCACCACCCAACACTTTTGGCTAAAGAAATAAAACACTGAACTCAGATCATGAGCCTGGGTGTGAAGTCTGGCCTGCAAAAGCCTGTTTGCTCTTCTCTTTTTCAACATCCCTTTCAGCAAAACGAGAGCTCAGGCAACAAAGGATGACTTTCAAAGAACTTCACTTTGGGACATATAAAACCTTTGAAACAAAAGTGAAGGTCATTGGCTATAGCTTCCCCTTTCAGGAGGGGTCCTGGGTGAATGAAGACTCTTTCAGGCCCAGATGTTGGTACAGAGTTTGAGAACTGATTCTCTAAGTGCAAAACCGTCAGGCTCAGAAGTACCCTGAGGTTGGCTGCCATATGCAGCTGGCAAGCATTCCCTGAAACCAGCAGATGAATAGAGCACTATTGATATAAATATCATCACCACAGCAGCTGGGCGCCTTATGAAAATAAACAATGACACAGTGTGAGCATCAGAAAAGCCGCCCTCGGCACCTGGAGGGGCAGTTCTTTGAAGTGCCATCAGCATCTGTCTGCCTGCATGCTCGTGCCAAGGCAGCCCCCAAGTTGGCCCAGCCCGGCAACATGGACAGGTCACTCCTGAGAGGACTGATGCCACCTCCTGTGGTTTGCCTGGGAACCGTATGGGCTGATGCTGGGGATTGGGCAGAGCTACCTGTAAGTTGCAGCAAAATAAGAAGAGGGTGTGAGCTCTAACGGGGCCTTATTTTTTTTGCACTGCTGACCAAATCTGTCCCTGCTCAGAATCTTACACTCCTTCATTCAATCAGCCCCAAATATTCTTCCATTCTCTGCAGTGGCTGCTGTTCAAAGATAATTATGATCAATGAGGGCTCAAAATAAAGGCTTTCAAACTTTTGCATTCAACCTTACAGATTTTTCTCACTCTTTAGAACTCCAGATGTCTCTGGTTAGATTCGTGGGGTAAAATCCTAGAACCACAGCAGCCAGCAGAGGATTCTGTGGCTTCTCAGACTCAGCAGAAAGAACATTTTCAACCACATCCAACAGCACTGACAACATATTTTCTCTATTTATGGGCTCTATGGATAGGGCAGAGTTCATTGAGAGCAGACAGCAGAAAGAAGCCCTCCTTGCAGTCATGCCACACTCAGCAAACTGTTTAGAGAGCTCAGGAGATCCTCCAGGCCAGCCAGCCACAGAATCATGACCCCACCAAACATGTCCACATCCTAATCCCTGAGACCTATGAATGTGCTGTGGCACCTGGTGTGTGGAGCATACAGGGATGTTTCTTTACCTTAAAACAAAAAAGAGCCAACAACTTATATAAAAGCTGAGTTGCTCAGTTCTGAGGCTTCCACTGTGGAAAGCCTGAGCGATCAGGAGATGCAAAGCCTTTTGGAAAGGTGAAGGTGATGAATGCAAGGATGACGGGGCTGTGATGGATTCTCATGAAGTGAGAGAGGTGAGTTCCTCACTCTTCCAGGAGAAAAGCAGGATGCTATTTCAGAGATGTCTCTTGTTGTCATTGTGCCTATAGGGCAAATACCAACTGCCAATATCCCCATTTTTTTTGAGACAGAGTCTCAGTATGTTGCCAAGTACCAGGCCGGAGTGTAGTGGTGCGATCTCGGCTCACTGCAACCTACACCTCCTGGGTTCAAGCAATTCTCCTGCCTCAGCCTCCTGGGTAGCTGGGACTACAGGTACACACCACCATGCCCAGCTAATTTTTTTTTTTTTGTATTTTTAGTAGAGACGGGGTTTCACTATGTTGGCCAGGATGGTCTCGATCTCTTGACCTCGTGATCTGCCCATCTTGGCCTCCCAAAGTGCTGGGATTATAGGCTTGAGCCACTGCACCCGGCCCAATATCCCATTTTTATCTGGACTTGTGAAAACACAGCCTAACACTCCAGCAAAATATGCACAACACCCAACCTGTATCTCAGCCAGCCTCAGGTCTGACTTCACAAGGGGCTGCGTCTCTGTTTCTATTCCCACCAGAATGGTACAGGTGAGAGGAAAATAAGAAGTCTGGGGTCAAGAGACCTGAGTTCAAATTGTAGCCTTGGCACTTACTCACTGGGTTGCCTTGAGCCACTTCCTTTACTTTCTCCAAGTCTTGATGTTATCCTTTGTTAGATTACTATAACCTAGATGTTAGCCAAGTTCCCTCTGTCTTTGAAGATTTAAATAAAATTTTCTCTGTTCCCTACTCCCCATCCTCTAGGAAAACCCAGTGTCCATCCCCAATATTTCTGAGAATTCTGAGGGGGGCGTATTCTCATCTTCACTTCCAAGTTTCAGCTGAGGCTTTAGTCGGAGCAACGTGAGCTTCGTATCCCACCAATGCCCATGACTTAGCGCTGAACATCGCACACCCTCATCCTGAAGCTCCGCCTTGCCTCCTCAGCCCTCACTGGCAGAAACACATCTTCCCTGGCCCTGTTGCCCAAACCATTTTCTTCCCGTTTACCTCTTCTCCCATCTCTCCCTTCTTGGCTCTTCTACCCTTTCCCCAAAAGTTGTTCCTTTCTTAAGCTGCAAAATCTAGCTGTCTCTTTAGTACCTCTTTCTAAAACCTGCTCTGCACCTTGCTTCCTGCCACAAGACTCTTCTGTAGGTTTGTTTCTAAACTCCAACCATTCCTTCCCAGAAACAAATTCTGATGCAGCTGTTATGAGAGTAAGTTTCCACCCACTATGTGGAGATTTTATTATGAAACTTCATGAGAATATTGGGAGGATAAATTGAGGGGAGATGTGTCAATGTGCTTTTGTGTGTGTGTGTCTGTCTGTCTCTCTCTCTCTCTCTTTGATATTTCTCTCTCTTTCTCTGTCTCCCTCTCTCTCCAACACCCCCAGCCCCCCGCCGCCCATCCCTGTCCCCTGTCTTCTTTATGCCTTCATTCACAGTCTGCCTTAACTGGACATAGTATCAAAGCCAATTATATGTATTTGGATCTTTATAGAATCCGTTTAAAGGAATTTTATAATCACTTATGCTGAATTTTAAAACCAGTTCAGGAAACTTATGTCTCTCTCTTTAAAATACCAATTCACTTCACCTTTAGGTGGCCTGGGATTGATTTCTTCACTCTGGGTCACGGGGAGTCCTTCATTTCAAAGCTATGCTATTACTTGGCCTTTCCATTTTATCAAAGTATTTTTTAATTAAAGAAAGGCATAACTAAGGTGCACTGAAATATGCTCTAAAAATGTTTATTCCAAAAATAGACCCATATGCTAGTCTTCATTCAACTCATCAGAGCATGTTTATTCCAGTGACTAACAAGCTTTCTGATTCCATCAGCATGAAAAAGATGTTTAACACATGTGGCTACCTCTGCATTTGTCATATGTCATGTGTGAACTTGCACCCCCAAAGGACATCTTTTCATGTCCCAAACAGCCATGGAGAGCACTGAGTAGAATAATGTATGGCAGCTGTTCCAGAGCTGTCCACACGGGCTTCACGACTTTTGCTTGGTTTAACTTGTTCTGACAAAAGAAAACAGCAAAAGTCCCCTCTGTTTTTCTGGAAGAAGGATGATTATTTCTAATTCATTAACAACAGCTGGACTGACTTAACCCTGGTGTGTTCATCACCACTATCTGTGTGTATCTGCAGTGGTAAAGCCCTCCCTTCAGGCCGTGCCACGTCTCACCCTCAGACCATTGGAAAAGAAACAGTAGGGGAGAGTACTTACCAGGCGACGAGGTAGAAAAAGGCAGTTGGTCTAGACTCCAGGCTGAAGAATTTGAATCTATTCTTGGATCAGCCGACTTCAAACGTTTTCCATCTAAATGAAGAAAATGCCGAGGTTGTGCTGAGCGTAAGTGTGGCCTTTAGGTCAGCTAGGTCCTCATGATCTTAAAGAAGCAAGTAGGCTTCCTGGAATTCATATTTCCAGAGCCGTAAGAAACCATAAGCTTTCCCTCCCAGGAGCTGTATAAATCCCAGATGCTTACATGCTTATATGAAAAGTCTGACTCCTCCACTCACATATGTGGTCTCTGTTCCATGTCTGTGTGATCCAGGGAGCCAAGCTCAGTTCCTTGCTTGTTTCTGCAGGAAATACATGCACAGTATGCATTGTACATGCTATTATGAATTTACAGAATATTTAGGAGGTTAGGAGCAGGGTTATGTGACACACAGAGTTGCCTTCTGTACCTCATTGGTTCTACTATGATCCCAACCTTTCTCTTATATCTTCTGGTCATTCAACTCATCAGAGAAACTGCAGCTCTCTTGTTTATGACATGCGCTATCCTGTATCTAGGATGCTGCCCATCTTCACAGCTACCCCAAGCTGGCTGATCCAGAATTTTCACAAGGGCAGTCCTTTGGGTATTATTCTAAAGAGAAAGCTACTAAGTAGAGAAAAAAAAAATCTATTTAGGCATCTTGTTTTGAGGAACCCTCCCCCATACTGCCTAATAATCACAGCTTACATTTATCAAGGAATCACTAGATCTAGATCCCTATGCTAAGTAGACATTAAAACTCATAGTCACTCCTAACAACCTGGAGAAGCTAAGAGATGTGGCCAGGCCATTCAACTAGAAAGTGATAGAGCTGGGATCTGAACCCAGGGAGCTTCAAGAGGAAACCCCAACACATTTTCCCACCTTTTGCTACACAACATACGCAGACCAAAATGGCAGCATCCATTCAGGGGCAGCCACAGCAGTTGAACACCAGAACCGTCTTGAGCTAAACCGCAGAGGATGTTTCTTGTTGATTAGAGTCATTTCTGAGCCCGAGAGTCAGTGGGAAGGGAACACCTGAATCCCCTGCTTTCTCTCTCTTATTTCCTATGGCTACAGTATATGCAGTGTCCCAGGCTGCAGAGAGACCCTGATGATCCCTGGCAGATCAAACACACATTTGCCAGCACGTCATCCTGCTGAATGTCACCCATTCTGTTGCTGCTGTAGTCTCACAAATTAGGGAACCCAAGTGAAAGGATGACTTTGATTTAGGATTAGAAAAGCCTGCAACCTTCCCCAGACCTCTGGGCATTATGAGAGAGTGACCCAGAAAATCGAATGCAGAGAAGTGTCCCGAGATACAGGAGTCTTGTTTGAGGCACAGAACCTATTAGCTTGAGAAATTGGTCTGGAAATCTTATTAAAAGAGACAAATCATTCCACATTCTCTCCTGACTGAAAATACTGGGGGTAACAGGCTTTCCCTGATACCTTGGATATATGGTAAGATACCTTACCTCATGTCGGGATCACAGCCAAACTCTGGGAACGGTAAATGCAAGGCAAGTGATAAAGGCAATTATTTTTTTTTAATGGGCAGTTCTGATTAATTCTGATTTCTCTGACCAGCCATAGACTTATCTGTACCAGTCTCTCATTACTGTGAAGGTTGCAAGGCAGACAAGCAAATGGCAAAGAGAAATGAAGTTCAAATTGTGGATTTGTCATTATTGCACAGCTCAGCAGATGGTTGTCCAGCGACGGAGGCCCCTGTGACCAGCACCCCGACAACACACACACACACACACACACGCTCAGAGCTCCTTTGTCCCTATTCTTGGCCAGCCCCCCGTGGAGACGCCAGTAAAGCAAGGCATCATTGCATTCTGAAGCTTAACCTTGCCTACTTATGCTATTTATGAGGGGTGATAAGAAGAATCCTTCAAATTTATATATGATAGCTATTATCATTATTATTTTTGTTGAGCACTGATGGGTTCAATAATGGTATGAATCATTGCAATTTAGTAAATGCTTATTCCATGCCTGGCATTGTGGTAAGGGCTTTATTTACATGAATTATGCCCTTTATCCTCACAACAACCCTATAAAGCAGGGGTTGCCAAACTTTTTCTGTAAAAAGCCAGATAGGAAATATTTCAGGTTTTGCAGGCTATATGGTCTTTGTTACAACGACCTACCTCTGTGGCTGTAGCATGAAAGCAACTGTGGACAATACATACATGAATAAGAGTAGCTGTGTTTCAGCAAAGTTTGATTTGCAAAAATAGGCAGCTGATTCTGTGGGCAATAGTATGCCAACTGCTGCTATAAGGTGAATATTGCTGAGTTAGAATTGTGGGATTCCACAGCTAAGAAGGTGGAAGATATGAGTTTCCATCTCCTACATCCTTTCTGCTCCCTGCTCTTGCCTTCTAACTGTAGTTCTGGAGGAAGGAGAGAATGAAGATATTTTCACATATGACTTCTCACTGTGAGATGGCTGTTATTCGGCCACAAAGCAAAGAGCAAGCTCCCCTTTGATGAAAACCCTGCATCTGTGGGGTGGGGGGGTCACTTCTGTCAAACTAGCCCCTTATCTGCAAGCTTGGGGTAGCCTGAACCAAAACCCCTGATGAGAGACTCAATCACAAACTGCTCTCAGAGTCTCGTAGGCCTTCTTTGTGAACCTTGGCTATATCTTCAGGGCAACCCCCAGATGCAGGGTCTATCTAACACATGGGCTCTTTGTCCATGTTGTGGTGGTCCCCAGCAAGCCTGCAGCCCCAGCCTTGACTCTCCTCTGTACCCCACCACTGGGTTCTGTAGACCTAGGGAGGGTCCATCTCTGTGTCCCTTGGGAACCAGGAATTTGAGGGAGCATGCCTTACTACTCGCTGCAGCCACACACCCCAACACCACCTCAACATTCTCTCCTAAACTGAAGTTATCTAGTGGCTCAACTGAGACAAAGAAACAAGGAAACAAGGTATCCATCTCTTCTTTTTTTTTTTTTTCTTTTTTGAGGCAGAGTCTTGCTCTATTGCCCAGGCTGGAGTACAGTGGCATGATCTTGCCTCACTGCAATCTCCACCCCTGGGTTCAAGTGATTCTCCTGCCTTAGCTTCCTGAGCAGCTGGGATTACAGGTGTCCGCCACTGCACCTGGCTAATTTTTGTATTTTTAGTAGAGATGGGGTTTCACCATCTTGGTCAGGCTGGCCTCGAACTCCTAACCTCGTGATCCACCCGCCTCAGCCTCTCAAGTGTTGGGATTACAGGCGTGAGCCACCACATTCAGCCTCCATCTCTTCTTCTTGATGACCCCTGTACATGTAAAGAATAATTTACGATCTTAGACTAGGTTTTCTCAATCTCTGCACTATGGATATTTGGGGCCAAGTAACTCTCGGGGGGAGCTAGTCTGTGCATTGCAGGATGTTTAGTATCATTTTCTCCTCTACTTACTAAGTGCCCATAGCAACCCCCAGGTGTGACAATCAAAAAGTCTTCAGACACTGCCAGATGCCCCCTGGGGAACAAAACAGCCTCCGACTGAGAACCACTGTCTTAGACTGAAGGTCAGTCATTGCCTTTTGCTCTCAGCTGTAAATTCTAAGTTCCAATTCCAGATAAATAGGACAAATCATGGGCAAGATCTGTCAGCACCATGTGACATTATCTTTTGGTGCAAAATAAGCATAATTATCCCCACTTTAACCTATGAGAAAACTGAGGCCTGGGCTGCACAGCTGGTAAGCAGCACAGCCCAGATTTGAGATCCAACTCCTATATATTTTAAACTGCTTTGGATCTGATAATGAATGAACACTATGAATGTTTCCCTGGAATGAGGAAGAGTTTGCTATAATTTGCGTGGTGAAAAGAAAACTAGACTGTACTTGCCCTTTCTTTAGCATGTTCTATGTAATCTTGACAGCCGGGCTTCAAGGTAGATGTGATTCTTCCCATTTTACAGATGAGGAAACTCAGGTTCAGCAAGCCTAAGAAATGGTTTGAAATCAGCGTAGCAAAGATTTGTCAGCCCAGTGTTTCTGTGCTCAAAGCCTTGATATTTCAACACTGGGAAGAGTGGCTGGCTGGTCCCTAAAGGGGAAACTGAGTCTGATTTCCTACATAATATTCTACCTTTCTGGCCAGTATGTCCTGCCAGTCATAAGAAAAGCTTGATGATGGCCGGGCACGGTAGCTCACACCTGTGATCCTAGCACTTTGGGAGGCCAAGACGGTGGATCACCAGAGATCAGGAGTTCAAGACTAGCCTGGCCAATACAGCAAAACCCCATCTGTACTAGAAATACAAAAGGTAGCCAGGTGTGGTGGTGGATGCCTATCCCAGCTATTCAGGAGGCTGAGGCAGGAGAATTGCTTGTACCCAGGAGGTGGAAGTTGCACCACTGCACTCCAGCCTGTGCAACAAGAATGAAACTCCGTCTCAAAAAAAAAGAAAAGTTTGTGATAAATGAGACCAACGCAGTCCCCCTTGCCTTTGACCTCCTCTTTCCTTATCCCAGTTCTGTATGCAGTACTGGCCTGAGAAGACCTCTGGGTGCTACGGGCCCATCCAGGTGGAGTTCGTCTCTGCAGACATAGATGAGGACATCATCCACAGAATATTCCGCATCTGTAACATGGCCCGGGTAAGTGCACGGCAGCCATTGCTTGCTGAGCCCCTCCTCCCCAAAACAGATGGAGGCTGCCGAGAGAGGATTCTGCTGAGCCAGCCAAGAGTCTGTGTTGTGCTCTCCTGATAATCTCTTCCTTGAGGAAGTGAGGCCTGTGCTGATTCCGGCTCCAGACTCAGCAATGACTCCAACACATAGAGATTCAATGAGCGGCATCCAACCTGCCATCTGCCTGTTTCCTGACACACTTGCTGCCATGTAGACAAAACTTCTTAGACATTAGCTCTTCCCCACTGTGTCTCACTGTACTGCCATGAGTTGATGCAGACTTTGATTGGATCCCATACGCTCTGGGCCAGGCACTGCAAACACCAAGATGAAAAGTGATTCCTTACTTCCATGAGGAAATTCACTGGCTGAGCAGAGGAGTAGTGGCGGGGAGGGGCAGAATAGCAATCTATGAAATGGTTGCTAACTAATACAGTTTGGTCACTGCTCCGGATCCAGGGTGAAAGGAACTCAGCGCCTCCCCCACCCCCCAGCTCAGAGTTCACTGTCTACTGGGAAAGTGAGATATGTTCTGGCACATAATCCTCGGGGAGAAAGAATTCTGCCCAATAGAGTCAGGGAAGGCTTTCCTAAAGAAAGGGACATTTAAATTGGGTTTTTAAGGCTGAGTGGGAGTTTTTCAGGTACAGAAGGGGTTCAGGGCAGTCATGGCAAGAGAATCTATATGCACAAAGGAACAGAAGTAGTCATGGGGACTCTCCCCATGAGGACATGGCTTAGAACTCATTTAGTCTGTCTTCCACTATGATGCTGCAGTCCCCAGGGTATCTGTAAGGCCCATGTCCCCAAGCATCCCCCAAAGAACAGCCCTAATAGCCTCTCCGTTCTCAGCCACAGGATGGTTATCGTATAGTCCAGCACCTCCAGTACATTGGCTGGCCTGCCTACCGGGACACGCCCCCTTCCAAGCGCTCTCTGCTCAAAGTGGTCCGGCGGCTGGAGAAGTGGCAGGAGCAGTATGACGGGAGGGAGGGACGCACCGTGGTCCACTGCCTGTGAGTACTAGGGAGGTGTCACCAGGGCAACAGGGTGGTGGGTGATAGAGCATCCTTGCAGATGCTGCTGGCCACATACACCAGTCCTAGGCAGGCCTGGCTATACCACAGCTCAACATCCCTCAAAGGCTAGTGGAAGTGCATTCAAAGGAATTATGCTCTTTTAGTGGAAGAGGGCTGCCAGTTTGTTTTCCTGAACTAATATATGACATATCATTGATGCAAACCCTGGTGGTCTTTCCACAAACACGAGAGGAGGTAGCAGACCGTGTTCCAATGCTCCCAATAAGAAGGTGATGTAAGAGGCATATGTGCCTTGCTAGTTACAAGAAAGCCCAGGACAAAGTGGGTTCCACTGACCAGAACCTCCCTTATTATTTCCCAAAGAAGAAGGAGAGGAAAGGGAAGGTGTTAAGTGAGCTTAATTTAATCCAGACATTTAAGTGAATCACTTCTATCCATTTGTGAGGTAGATATTATCATTTTGCAGTGAGAAAACGGAGGCGCAGGCAGGGTAAGGGAATCAGGAATCAGGAGTGGGGCTGTGGCTTACATTCCCTGCTCTCTAAGCTAAAGAACCATCGATTAACTCACACTGTCTCTCTGAGGATACTAAAGGACTTGTCTGCTCTGTCTGCCTCTCTACGATGGGCTTAGAGGGATCACAGGACAAAAAGAGCAGGAGGGAAAGGCACTGCCCTGAGGGGCTCACAAATGGATTTGAAGGGCTCTGGGAACACTATTGCCCAGGGGCACCATGGGCTCCAGACCAGCTGTGTTTATATACCGCCATTGCTGGGGTGAACTGGAGATTGTACCTCCTCGAATGGACGTTGTCCTCCAATGAATTCTGATGTCATTATGTGTGGAGGTCAGGACCTTGTGAGGACAGTGGCTGATGAGCTGTGCAACATCAAGAAAATCACTGAATTTGTAAGCCTCAGTTTCCTCATCTGTTCAATGGTTATGTTGAATTAGACAATCTCCAGACCCGATAATGCCTTGGCATGAAATACAAAGTAAACACACTTTATCTGCCAACACAGAGATCAAGAATGTTGTGGTAACAAATACGCAAATGGTGTCAATGTAATTACTTAAAAGAGCAAGTGTCACAGACTCTACCCTAAAGTGGCCACAGTCTTACACCCAAAACAAATCTGCAGCCATAACAGCTAGGTGTGAAATATTTGATTCACAGTCACTCACTTTGCTTCTTAGAAGTTCAACAATTTGAGGAAGTCATTGAGAAGGCCTGTCTCTTTAAAAATGTTTTGTTAAAGGACATTTGAACCAAGGTCTTCTTTTTTTACAGAACAAATACTTCTGGAGTTAGTGGAGGCACTGATAACATCTGACTGATCTCAGAATTGAGGTCAGTCTTTTAAAAACCAGCTAATTGTTCTCCCTCTCCAATAGATGGTGCATGCACGTTAAGAAAGTTGGAGAGTTTAAAGGGGGTCAAACACACGACACATGCAGATGTACACACAGAGCTTCAGGGCAACCACCTGCAGCAAAACTCCCTTTCCAGAGGAAGCAGACCTCAGGCTAGAGTTCAGGAAGATGCCACGTGGTGTCCCAAGTCAGGTTGATGGGTGATATCAGCCAAGCCCACCTGGCTCTGTCTACATCCCAGAAACTAGCAGCTGGTTTCCTGCCAGCTAATCCCTGCTGCCTCCAGATGCCTCCCACACACTCAGGTGACCTTACCCTAGCACCCATCTTTCAGGGTCTCACACTACCAGGCCCTGAGACCCTGTGTCTGCTCACCTCTTCCTCTTGGACGCTGTTATTCTTGCTTGAGTGGGGTCTCCTCCTTTCCTAGGAGACCCTACTCTCTCTGTCTCCCACATTTGTTTTTTAGCGTGCTTTCTTTTTCCAGTAGTGCCTTTTTCTCCATGTCCTTTCCAGCCCAGGTGGCCAGTACTTTGAACCAAAGGAAGGGACAGGGACATTCTTCTGCCAACAGAAATCTTGGTATCCTTGAGGGCCACAGACATCATAACAGACCCTGAATGCAGGCACCAGTCAGTGAATGGAAAGCAACTCTCTGTACTTGAAACATCTGGTCATTGCATATCCTGTAGATAAAACATCTGGGAGATTGACTGAGTGTCTTCGTTTCCGTCCAGATGTTCCTTAGACACAGACCATTACATGAAATCATTAGTTGCTCTTGGCAGCACGCCCAGGAGTTCCGAATCAGGCATATTCCTACAGGGACGCTCTATAAAGAGTTTGAAGGGTGTTTCCATGAAGATGACTTATGGAGTTTCAGAAAGGAATAACAGAGACATAGCTCTGCCATCAGCCCTCTATCCCTAGGCTCAAGATCAGTAGCATCTTGCTTAAACCAAGGTGTATAGTAGACACCTGTCATTTTCAGATAAAGCCTCTCAGTCCCACTCCAGTTCCCACCTCCAAGCTTGGGCTGGCTGGCCCTAGGCTAACAGACTATTGCTGTCCTTAATGAAGGTTGGGAAGAACTAGCAGGACAAACACTTGTGAATTTTCACTGTCTTTACGGGATGTTTAAGTGGACCCAGAGCATTCTTTGGGACACGGATGCAAGTATCAGCAAGGATGCAGGTGTCACATGTACAAAGACACAGTACCACCTGCCCTTGGGGTTTGGGTGAGTGTGCCCTGAGTGTCTGTAACATTCTCATAGAACCAAGAAAACAAGCAGCGAATTGAACTTTCAAAGGTCATCTAGTCCAACCCCTTCATTATATGAATGGGGAACTTGGGAACCAGACAGGGGAAGTGACTTGCCCAAGGTCAAAGCAAGTTAATGGCACAGGTGGGACTCAAACCCTAACTCCTGGCTCAGGGTAAAGCCTTCACCATTGCCTTGCCTTGCATCTGCCTAGGCAGCTGATCCCTACGCCTACGGATGTAGCTTTAGAATCATCAGGTGCCTGGAAGGGACCTAGGAACATGGCTTACCTCTTTTCTCTATGTTTAGAAATGGGGGAGGCCGCAGTGGAACATTCTGTGCCGTCTGCAGTGTGTGTGAGATGATCCAGCAGCAAAACATCATTGACGTGTTCCACATCGTGAAAACACTGCGTAACAACAAATCCAACATGGTGGAGACCCTGGTAAGTATCCCAAGAACTGTTCTCCAACAGCCAGGGACTGACTAGTTCCTTGGACCTGAAGAAAATGACAGCAAATAGTTAAGTCACTTCACAGCTGGCTGCTGATTGTATACCTACAGTCTGTGCCCTTGGCAAGTCATCTGCCCTGTGTCTTCCCCTTCCAGCCTCCCCAATTTCCCTTTCTTGCAGGAAAATCCAATTATTAATCCTGGTACACCTACTTTGCTTCACTTTCTTCCCATTCTTTAAGAAAGTAGTATTAATTCAGGCTTAAAGGAAAGGATTCTGGATTAGTAGAATGTGAAGTATATTTTCATTTCAGTCCAATTATATTCCAATTATTTTATGCTAATTTTTACAGTAGAGAGCACTGTAGAGGCAAGTATGGTAAAGAGAGTGTGCAGGCAGAGCCCCAGATGGTAAGACCTAGGACCATGGTGGACCATTGCAAGATGCACGAGGAACTTTAATAAAAGTCTTTAAATGTACTCAAAGTGTGGTCTTCCTCAAAGTGAGGCCCTATATAATGTGTGGGCCACAGACCAGCAACTGCATCATTACCTGGGAGCTTGTTAGAAATGCAGAATCTTGAGCCCCACTCCAGATCTACTGAATCAGAATGTGCATTTTAAAAAGATTTCTGGCTGCCTTGTATGCACGTCACAGTTTGAGAAGCACTATTGTACAAAACAGTAAAAAAGAAAGGGAATGATGCCAGCTGGGCATTCGAGGAAGCTTGGGTAGAAGCAGGCATCAAGCAGAATTTTGAAGGATGTCCAGAGATGGGTAATTTTGAGTTGACATAATGTGGATGTAGATAAAGTTGTCTCCAAAATCTGTATCTCTAAACTAAATGCATTTTCCCTTTCCTTTTTCCTCTCTCTCTTGTCTCCTTTTCTCCCTCTATGCCTCTCCTCCTCTCCGCCTCTCAGGAACAGTATAAATTTGTATACGAGGTGGCACTGGAATATTTAAGCTCCTTTTAGCTCAATGGGATGGGGAACCTGCCGGAGTCCAGAGGCTGCTGCGACCAAGCCCCCTTTTGTGTGAATGGCAGTAACTGGGCTCAGGGGCTCTGAGGTGGCACCCTGCCTGACTCCAAGGAGAAGACTGGTGGCCCTGTGTTCCACAGGGGGCTTTGCACCTTCTGAGGGCTCTCCTGTTGCTGTGGCAGATGCTGCTCCAAAAGGCCCAGGCTTCCTTTTCAACCTAACCAGCCACAACCATGGGCCCAAGCAGAAGTGTACCCACAAGCAAGGCCTTGGATGTTTGGCTCCCAGACCTCCTGCTTTTGTTCTTTCTGAGTTTGTGGATCTCATGGCAAACCAACTGTGCAGGTGCTGGGGAGTGGGAGGCCCAGCAGAACCTTCCCAGCCCTCCTTCTCCTTAGGAGTGGAGGAGATATGTGTTCTGCTCCTCCATGTCTTGGAAAAGATTGGGGCTCTTGGGGGTCACAGCTCTGCTGCCCCTGCAACCTCCTTCAGGGGCCTCTGGCACCAGACACCTGCAGTCTGGACCAGTGTGACCTTACAATGTTCCCTAGGTCACAAGAGAGCCCACCCATCCTCACACCTAACCTGCATGGGGCTTGGCCTACAACCATTCTGTACCCCTTCCCCAGACTGGGTCTTGACTGTCCAGCATTCACTGGCCGGCCCGCTGTGTCCACAGCACTCTTCGATAAAGGTGTTCTTTGTTTTTTGTGTGGTCAGTGGGAAGGGGTGAAACTGCAGGGAACTTCTCTGCTCCTCCTTGTCTTTGTAAAAAGGGACCACCTCCCTGGGGCAGGGCTCTGGCTGAACTGTAGGTTGTAACCCCTGTGTCTCTTTGGTGGTAGCTTTCTTTGGAAGAGACAAACAAGATAAGATTTGGTTATTTTCCAAAGTGTATGTGAAAAGAAACTTCGTTTTGGGGGTGTGTAAAATCTTAGTCTCTTATGTCAAAAAGAAGGGGGCAGGGGAGTTTGAGTGTTTACCTCTTAAGACATATCTCTCGGGCCTGTTATTTTTTCCTGGAAATGTTCTTAAAAGCTCCCACCCTGGGACAGCATGCCACTGAGCAAGGGAGAGAGGGGATAGCCTGAAGATGGTCCCTTTGGTTTCTGGGGCAGATAAGAGCACCAGCTTTGTGCAGAATTTGGAACTCCACATTTGAATTCCTTCCTAGAGAAACTCAACTGCCACCTTGAAAAAGGACATTGTGGAGCCCATTATACATTGATTGAAAATAGGCCAAGACAATCAGGCCTGGAGATCTAGGGTCTTGTCCAAAGTGAGTCAGTCAGTGAGAGGGAACCACCATTTGCTAAGTCTCTGGTGTATGCCAGGGATCATGCTTGGTAGTTTCCATGGGACATCTCACGCAGTCCTTAGAACCCCTAGGAGAGAGCTGCTGACTTGTCACCATCTCCACTGATCATCTCCTCCAATGAGGAAACCCAGGCATCTTCCTCAGTGATGAAATCCTGGGTTCCAAAGGGGCAGGTAATGGCAGTGAAACTTCTCTGTGCTGTTTTCTTCATAGTCTCTAAGCCAAACAATTATTTTATGGAGGGAAAATAAGGCCAGAAGCTTCTGAGCAGAGAACTCCACAAATGGAAATTTAGTACTTTCTTCCTGACGCCAGTTCTTCTGGGAAGCCCAGAATTTCAGATATATTTTAGTAACTCATTCTCAGCTCCCCAGGAAAGCCAGTCTCATCTAATTTCTTAGTCCATAAAAACAATTCCTTGTTCCCTTGGGCTATGAAGGAACCAGCCAGGGACAATCTCGACCTTGATCTCTAGCCAGTCCTTAGGCTGGATATCTGACAGCCTCAGGTGGGCTGGGACCTAGGAAGCTCCCTCTGGAAGGCTGGTCTAGCCCCAGACAGGGCACAAGGGACACAGATTTCAAGAAGGCACAGTTTGACCATCAAGAACCCACGGTATGCTGGGGAAATTGAACCATGGTGCAGTGATGTGGAGCAGATGAGTTTTCCATGAGTCTAGGAGCAAGAGAGCCTCTTCAGCCTAGGGCTTCCTAGAGAAAGGAGCATCTATTCCTGCTGGGTCTTAACAGGCAGAAAAGAGGGGAAAAAAAAGGTGGGGGGGGAACTCAGGCAAAGGGATCCATATGTGCAATGGCAGAGAAATGTAAAAAGGCATTGGGAGGAACAGTATGGGGGAGGCCAGCCCAGCAGGGGCACAGCACAACAGGGTGAGAAGCAGGGATGAGCCAGGGTCCAGGAGACAGATTCCTATCGTGAGTGCAGACTTTGTCCTAATGGCAACAAGGAGTCCATGGAGCTTTAGAGAGATGTACTCAGCTTCGTGTTGGCAAAGACTCCCTCTGGGCCAATGGGGCTGCCTCTTTTCATCAGACACTGTGAAAACATTCCCTTAAGCGCGTACTTTTTAATATCACATCTATTTGTCTGTCTGCTCATTGTTTTGTTGCTGGAACTAAATATGCAGTGCATCATGAAACTCGGCTTCTCTGAGAAACCCAGGGTCTCCGCTTTACCAGGGAGCAGGGTCACCAATCCAGATCTCTAAGCCCATGAGGGTGGAACATGAAAGGAGCCCAAAGAAGTTGCTTCCAATGGCATGGGCTCTGGAGCTGTCTAGAAGTCCAGGGACACCAGACTTGATCAAGGAAGGACTGTCACTTTAGAGGTTCAAAAGGAAATGCCTCAAAGCAAAGGCAAGCAAAGAACCCCACGATGAACTTGCTCTTTTCCTTTGATGAGCCTCTCCCCAGGTGTATTTCAGCAGACCCCGGGGACTCACCCCCACTGGGCCTGATAGCCTCCCCTGGCTCCAGCCCACTGCCCCAGCTGGCCTTCCCCAGCCTGCGATGCGCCTGTGGCATGGCAAATCTGCCTGCTGTATGCTATTCTCTCAGATCTTGGTACATCCAGACAGGATGAGGGTGGAGGAAGAGCTATTTAACACAAATCCTAAGATTTTTTTCTGCTCAGGAAGGGGTGAAATGGCTGACAGATAAAAATGACAGTGGCTTCTATCATTTTAAATGGTAGGGATTTAAAGTGTGACTTCACAGAGAAAGAAACTTGTGACTCCACGGAGAAAGAAAAAAAGATATCTCAGGCCATGGTGGGCTAACCCAGCAAGGGCCAGTGAGGTTCCCCCAGTTTATCCCCTTGTTTTCCCACAACCCAACCATTCTCCAAAGAAAGCAGAGTGGCATATAGGTCTTAGGCCAGGGCACACGGGAAGAAATTGAGGCTCATGGATGGGGATGACTTCCCTAAAATCCCATGTGACTAGGATGTGGCAAGGCTTGGATGAATAGGGGTACTTGTACCCAGGAATCTGAACATTTCCTTTACCCAGAAAACCTCCAGAGCCAATACCACCTTCCCCAGGGGGTCTCCCCACCCCAACCCATTGACAGGGTGAGCTCAGCCTGTCGTGAGAAGAGGAAAATATTATTAATGCTCTGTGAGTCTTTACAACAGGAACTCTTACCTTATAGATGTGGAGCCTATTTGGTGAAGATGCAAAGAAGTGATGAGAAGACCAGGAACTTTCTCCACCTGTGTGTGTTGATGGTCTAGGTAGTTTAGGACATATCTCAGCTGCACTCCAACACTGCATCCTTTCTGGTATGGAGAATCTGGGCCAACCAGGGGCCCTTGGGCCTCAAGAAGGCCACAGTAGGCCTCTCTTTGTGGGAATGGAAGAGGACAGCTTTTAGTGCTGGCCCTCTTTGTGGGTGTGGCCTGAAAAGGAACCAACAAACCTTATGATGGGGACGCTAACATGTGAGCTCACTGAATTCTTCCAACATTCTAAAGAAGGGTTTGTGATGGCCACGATTTGACTGGTGAGGAAAGTGAGTGATTTCCCTTAGGAGAGAAATCACTTGCACATAGTTCCACAGCTAGTGCATGAATGAACCAGGATTTTAACTGGTTTTTTTTTTTTTTTTCTGACTACAGAGAGAATATTTTTCCACCATTGTATCTCACATTTTTCCTATGGGGTTACTCATAACAGAATAGATTAGAGTGAAACAGATACCTCGGTGGATAAGCTCAAAGCAAACAACAGTAAGCTTAAAATTCCTTCACTGTCTTACATTTTACTTTCACAATTCATGCAAAATTTGCATTCCACTTTCTGATTTAGCCTGATTGGTTTTAATTTGACTGTATAAATACTTTTTTAAAAAAAATAGGGCCGGGTGCGGTGGCTCAAGCCTGTAATCCCAGCACTTTGGGAGGCCGAGGCGGGTGGATCACGAGGTCAAGAGATCGAGACCATCCTGGTCAACATGGTGAAACCCTGTCTCTACTAAAAATATAAAAAATTAGCTGGGCACGGTGGTGGCACATGCCTGTAATCCCAGCTACTCAGGAGGCTGAGGCAGGAGAATTGCCTGAACCCAAGAGGCAACAGTTGTGGTGAGCTGAGATCGTGCCATTGCACTCCAGCCTGGGTAACAAGAGCGAAACTCCGTCTCAAAAACAAAAACAAAAACATATGCTCTGTTCCTCATGTGGTTCTGTTCTGTTCAACCCACTATGATGAACCCCAGGTCAGCTGGTCTTGAGCTTGAGCCTAGAATTGGCTCTAGGAGCAGTGACCCTGCTGCCTCCTAGAGCCAATTGTAGGCTCAGGAACAAGACCAACTGACCTTCTCCTAGGCAGCTCCTTTGGTCTGTGGGTGCTCTGACCTCACTGTTCATGAGTGGACCTCAACTAAGGTATCTTCCAGTTGAGTGCTGGAAGGAACCCATTGACACACACTAGAATGATGAGGATTTGCACATCTGACATGAAGAAGGAGAAGCCCACAAAACGCTAAAGGGAAAGGAGAAGCTAGACATGGCTGTATTCAGCAAGTTCCTGAATGCTAGGCTGGAAAGTGGTGCCTGTTGCCCAAGTAGAGTCACATGGTTGCTGATGTGGGCAAGTCTGAAGACACACTTCACGAGCAGCTGTGGATCGGAAAGCTCCTCACTTTAACCTAGCCACACATACTTACTGGGTTCCTACAGCACATAGCACCTTGGCATGGGGGCACTGTTAGGAAAGCGATTACTATGGCACAGTTCATTCCTGGGTAAGGCATGGGGTTGTGGTGGAAAGAGCTCATTCTTTAGTTTGAATCCCATCCCTGCCATTTCTTGGCCATAGAGTGTTGGGCCAACCAATTAATGAAAAAAACATACCTGAAAAGAGGAGCATCATCAACATTAGAAGGGGTAGATTTGGAGCACTTTAGGCAGGAAAACAGGAAGGCAAGGCCAGGAAACTGGAACCCAATGAATACTCAAAACCGAGGATGCAGATGACTTATTTAGCAAAGCGGTCACTTCCATGACATAGCTGGACAAAGCATGAGTAGCAGCTTGCCAGAGCCACTTGGAACAAGGGCAGATCTCAGTGTCTGCAGCAAAAGATGATGACTTTCCCTCTGACCCATCAAGTTTATTCATCCTCCACTCCCCATTGCCACACTAGCTCTTGCTGTATGTCTTCACCAGGATCTACACTCCCTCAGCACTGGTGGGAACCCCTTGGAGTACATAGAGGTGTCAGTCCAGTAAGGCTGCTCTACACAACAGGAGTGATAACCCAGGGAGTAGCAGGTAGGCCCTTATCGGGTCATCTCTGCAGGAGTGACTGCCCAACCCAGATCCAGAGACATTCAAGGAAGTGATAATTCCCTGGTACCTCATTGCCTGGGGACAGAATGAAGAAATCCACCCTCCCTTAGGCTGTAGCTGGCTACTCCTGGGCTAGGTAGGTCATCAGCACCAAGCTAAATCAGGAGTAACAATAAGGAAGACATGGGTGAGCCCAAGAGGAAGCATGGACAAGGGGAAAATGATCAACCCAACTGGAGGGCATGATAGAAGAAAAAACATAAACATGGATGGCCATGCCATCTCAAATTCTTGACTTGCCTTCCCTGTTACTTAACAGTCTGAGCTTTTCAGCCTATGACCAGCTTCAAATCACAGCCAAGTAAAACAAGGAAATAGGAAAAGTAGATCCAACTAGAAGAGACAAGCTGAGATTCAGATTTGTTTACTCCTCCCATGCAAGGGCTCCCTGTTAGGGGTTTTCCATGTATACATGTCTAGAAGTGATAAAATGCAAGGCCTCGGCTTCACCTTGCAGGGATCTTTGAGGTCATGCAAGGTCTTCACCTTGCATGTCTTTGAGGTCATGTACCATCTGAACAGCAGGGAGAGAGGTTAGTGGCAGAGAGTTGGAGGGCTGTTCTAGCTCCAGTTTTTCTGACACAGGTTTCAGGGTCATGGATTTGATCCTCAGAAGCACAGCAGAGACATCTAAGCCTTATTTGTGCACATGAGCAGACTCTTCTAGTTTTTTAGTAACAAGGGATGGGCTCCTGCATGGCACTGGCTGTATGGTTGTCTTGTAGAGATCAAGCCAGTCTTTTGCATCCCACCTGCCCACCTCCAGAAGAGATGGGAAAAGGTCATCACCTGAAATCACCATTCACCTGAAATCAGCTACATTCACCACCTGAAATCCACCCATGAATGTTAGGTCTCTAAAAGGAGGGATAAGCACTCACAACGGTAGCCTCCAACCCCTAGCATCCTGCTTATCTAAGAGCTCAATGGTGGTCCACTGGGGCAGATACATGGGAATTGCAAGGGCTCAGGATGAAAGATAATCTATTGGGAAGAGTTTTGGGGGCTGGATCATTATGGGGCTTCCTTCTGTCTCTGAGAGCTGCTCTGGATGGTGGGATGTGGATTCTGATCCTTGGTTGATCCGAAATTCAATGTCTGGTGGCCTTGAAGTGTTAGAAAGAAAAGTATCAGTATAAAAACCTGGAGCTCAAGGTAATTAATGTAGTTCATGGTTCCTTGGTAAGCAGGACTCTTGGATGTGGAGGAGAAATGTGTTACTTCCTGTAACCCACCAAAATTACAAAATTGAGTCTCTGTACAATTACTTCAGTGCCTTTGGGCTTATGAATACCAATCAGTGGGCCTTCTCTGTGATGGTCCAACAAACTCTCAGTGCCCATCCTGTCCCTTCCATCTCCCATGAAGATGAATAATGTCAGGTGTTCTTTGGATCAAAGGCTCCAGAAGGCTTAGAGGACAGAGTGGTGTCAGTCCATGTAAAATCACGCTTCTGAGAGGTCAGGCAGAATCTGGTGTCCATATCCTCCATAGGTCTACAGATTATTGGATGAAGTCAAGCATCATTTGCTAGGCCCAGGTCATGCCTCTGAGTATAACTAAGACCCATGAGCAAAACTTAATATCTGTAAGGAAGAACTTGCTGTCTGCCTGAGAGGATAAGCTGCCCATCTTGGCAGCTGTCTAAACAAAGCCAAGTATCTCTTTAAAGGGAAGAGGAGCATTGCTGAAATGGCTTTCAGGCCACTTCCATTCTAGATGGGTGAGACCTTGTGGAGCTAGGATCATGTTTAAACTCATTCATACCTGTAGACCAGAAATCCAAGTAGACTGTGTTTGGTCTGTACAGGTTGAAGCTCCCTGCTCTCCCACCCAAGTCTCCTTACGGAGCAGGCCAACCTGCTATTGTGGCCACATATACTGGGCTGATCCAGGCTGATTATCACAAAACAGCAAACCACAGGGAACAGCTGCTTTGTCATAGACCCAATACCCACGTGGATCTCTGATGAGAGCAGCCATAACTCAGACTCACTGACCAATAGGGCCATAAGAGACAGCCAGAACCAGTGAAGGTCCAAGCAGGACACAGAGCAGGGCTTTGCTTAACGTACATATTATCTCCAGAGGTTATTTCTACCCCACTCCCTATTCAAGGCCTGTTGGAGCAGATTGCAAAAGCAAAAGCACAGTAACTCAGTGTACATATGATTATAATCGTTTCCAGTGCACACATCTCATCACCAGGTGGATCCTGAGCTAGCCCATGTCAATCCAGGTTAACTCATATTGATAATCAGACTCAAAAACACTTTCACCCTACAGTCTACCAGCCAATCAAAGACAAAGAATTGTGGTCTCTACCATTGCCTTGGCTTCGGGACACCCTCATAGCCCTCTACAGGCTATCACAAGGTTTCTGCTCAACTCCAGGGAGGCTGACATCTTCACATCCGCTGGGCATATGATATTGCATGAGACCAAAGTCTCCACACTGTTTGCAGCCTCCTCCATGAATCCCAATGGCCTGCACTTGTACAGTTTGGGTGTTTGATAGATAAAGCACGTATGAGAAGAGAAAACAAAATAAATCAACTTTTTAAAAAAGCCAGCACTGTGCTGTCAATGTTTTTTTTTTTCTTTTCCTTTTCAATTTTAGCTTAAAAAAGCAGAAGGTAAATAATGTCAGGTCAATGAATATCAGATATATTTTTTGACTGTACATTACAGTGAAGTGTAATCTTTTTACACCTGCAAGTCCATCTTATTTATTCTTGTAAATGTTCCCTGACAATGTTTGTAATATGGCTGTGTTTAAAAATCTATACAATAAAGCTGTGACCCTGAGATTCATGTTTTCCTAAGATATTCGTATTGGTGTCTTCCTGAGGTTGGGTAGGGATGAAGTGGGGACAAGTTGAAGGAGGAGGAGAAAAAAATTATTTTTAGCTGGGCACAGTGGCTCTGCCTGTAATCCCAGCACTTTGGGAGGCTGAGGCGGATCACCTGAGGTCAGGAGGTCAAGACCAGCCTGACCAACATGGAGAAGCCAGGTCTCTACCAAAAATGCATAATTACCCAGGTGTGGTGGCGCAAGCCTGCAATCCCAGCTACTCAGGAGGCTGAGGCAGGAGAATCGCTTGAACTCAAGAGGCAGAGGTTGTGGTGAGCCAAGATCGCACCACTGCACTCCAGCCTGGGCAATAAGGGTGAAACTCCATCTCAAAAAAAAAAAAAATTATCAACTAGGTTTCTTTATATCCTTACGCCTACATCACAGGAAATACATATTATTCCCTCTTTGCAGATGAAAAAGTTGAGACTCAGAAACAAGGGATTTTCCCTGACTGCACATTGAGCTAGTGAAACGGTTGAGTGTAAAGTGGTGTTTCTCAAGTGTGGTTCATAAAGCACTGGCACCAGAATCACTGGGAAGTTTGTTAAACATACACATTCCTAAGCCCAGAGGATCACAGTTTCAAGGTCTGCATTGTTAACAAGCTGCCTAAATGTACCAGCTAGCTATGGCTGCATAACAAACCACCCCACAACTCAGTAACTTGAAACCAAAATATTTGATAACAACCAGCTAAGACCCAACTGTTCTAAGCTTAGCTAAGCTAATCTCAGCTAGGCTCATTCATGTGTTGGCTAAGGGCTCTATGCTAGGCAAGGCTTGGCTGAGGCATGTAAGCTGTTATGGCTCTGTACCTTTTATTTTTTATCCTCCTCCTGGGACCAGTGTGCTAGCCTGGACATATGCTTCTCATAATAATAGCAGGAACATGAGAGAGAGAAAGTCCAATCACATATATATTTTGCCAGGCCTTTGCTTGAATAATATCTAGAACATCCCCTTGGACAAAGCTAGTTACATGGAATTCTCAGAATCAAGGAGCAGGGATTCTACATCTTGACATAGACCCCTTGTCTCAATTTTCCAGTAAATGATGAGGTTGGCTGGGCACAGTGGCTCACATCTGTAATCTCAGCACTTTGGAAAACCAAAGTGGGAGATCATTTGAGCCCAGGAGTTCAAGACCAGCCTGGGCAATGTAATGAGACCTTATCTCTAAAACAAAACACAAAAAAATTAGCCAGGCATGATGGCACACACCTGTAGTCTCAGTTACTCAGGAGGATAAGGTGAGTGCATTGCCTGAGCCTGGAAAGCTGAGGCTGCAGCAAGCTGAGATTGCACCACTGCAGTCCAGCCTGGGCAAAAGAGTGATACACTGTCTCAAAAAAGAAAAAATGCTGAGGTTAGATACAAAACCAATGGTGCCTAATGCACCCTTTAACTCTCTAATCACAGAGTGCAATCCGTGGGTCACCTACATCATTACACCTGGGAAACTTCTCAACATGTAGAGTCTGATTCAACAGGTCCAGGATAGGAGCTAAGAATCCTCATGCTCAAGTGCCCCTGATGATTGTAATAGATGCTAAAATTAGGCAAGCACTGTTTTTAATGCTGTTGTTATTAGAGGGGAACAGATAAAAGCCCAAGAGGAACAGATAAGAGCCCAAGCCAGTGCTCAAGCTGGGACATAAGGCTGCCAACCTCTCAGTTGGATGCATATATCCTCTATTTTCTTCTGGATGAGCAGAAGAAATTACTAGAACCTGACTCCTTGGCATTTACTGGTTCTCAAGTTCTTCATATAAGCCTGAGCTGGAAACAAAAGCCAGAGCCCAAGGTTCACCTTGTTCTCCTGCGGCCTTGGGAACTCTGGCAGGGTTCTTCTGCCCGAGGAACCTAGATACATGGCTCACCAGGCTTCCCAGGCCACAGAGTCTAGAGAACACATGCTTTCCAGCTTGGGTGCGATGTGGGGAACCTGGTATCCAGCCAGCTAGTTATCTTGTCACCTTGTCCTTGGTCATGTTAATCTCACTTAGTCTGCCTGCTATATTTATTCTTTGGCCACAAATGTAATAGGTGACACTGAAGAAAGAAAAGTAGAAAGAAGGGGAAAAAAATCTTATATAACCCCTAAATTTAAAAAAGTACTTCAGGACGTATCACTTTTCCCCAAAATGGAAATCGCTTTATTTATTTATTTCTATTTTATTTTTTAAATTTATTTATTTAACTTGAGTTGCATACTATATCTGGCATTTCTCCCCATGTGTTATGATAAAAGTAGCACGTACTCACTTGAAATGACTCAACATAAAATTATTCAAGGCAAAAGGTGAAAGTTCCCATTTCTCAAAGGTAACTATTTTTATGCCATTCTCAACCTTTCTATGCATAAACATAAACATTATCTACATATGTTCATCATCAACATGCAGTAAAGACATGGCACCCACAGGGAAATGATACTCACAAACCGAACAACTGGAGAATGAAGAGCATGGCATTATCACCCCCTGGAAATTAACATAAACTGAGGAGGGCATCACTTTTCCCAATCTACAGAATAGGCATTGGAACAAAATTTAACTAGTTATTCAAGGACATTTGGAGTACATGAATAAGGAAATATACAAAGAAATACAGATGCATAGAGAAAATAAAATGAATATATAAATGAATAAAAAACCACATCAGTATATTAACAGCAATTATATCCCATCATAGGGAACACAAGTATTTTTTGTTCTTTGTAATTTTCTATATTTGATAAATGTTACATAACTTTAATACCTAGAAAGGTCAATTACAGAAAAAGAAGAGGTGACAAGAACATAGGAAAATCCAGGCAGAACGGGTATGATGATGCCAGGAATAGGGTCATACCCCAAGGCCTGCCATATACCTGGATCAAGAAGTTTGAAAACCTGGTACTGCCCATCTCCTGCAAAAGGGGAATACAGTCAATCAGTCAACATCCGAAGGGAAAATAATCTCTTGCTCAGAATAAATGAAAAACATTCCTGCTGTAGAGCCTAGAAGAAATTTTTTTCATGAGTCGCCTTAATAAATAATGGCTTCAACACATCCTTCACTGACACAATGTATTCCTCTCCCTGAAGACTCATGGCCTCACGCCACAGAACAATTCAGTGAATGCTCTTCACTGAAGGACCAAAATGAAGGGACCCAGCTACATGGTTCTCTGCAAGTTAGACCTAAGCCACGTGTAGGTTTTCAGAATCTTAAGTATTATATAAACAAGTTTTCTCTCATCTCTGAGCGTCCATGAGCTGGAGGCTTTTAGCCCAGAACCAGCAAAATACTTATTCTGAGTTGTTAGTTGAATTTGGAGTCTGAGTTTAAGAGCCAGCTGAGCCAGAAAGACAATTAGTATCCCCCTTTGAGTGATGAGGAGCCTCACAGATACATGTGCTGAGACAGAAAATGAATCCATTTCTCTATTACACTGGGGCACAGCAGGGCCAAGAAGTAAACCCTCATTCCAGGTTATAATGAGGACTGACTCCATGCCATTCTACTTTGCTTTAAACTACTTACAAATACTTAGTCAAAGCTGGAAACCTGTGACCACACCTGGCAGCCAAACCATTGTGTGAATCGGGAGGAATTTCCTCTGATTATAAGATACAAGAAGCTGAAATGAAAATCGTAATCAGTGTCAATGCTGAATCATGTTTTGCTGCCTAAAAGATGCAAAGAAGCCTCTAAGAAGATAAAGCGGCTCATCCCTCCCAGATACCTGCTCCAGATGGTCTGTACTCACTCAGAAAATTGGTCAATCGTCCACTTCTGTCTCCTGGTAGATGAAATGACATTAAGAAAAACTTCTATGGGCGGGAGAACAGCAAAGAGAATCCTGAAGAAATATATGCTGAGGATTTTAGCTGTTGTGCCACCCCCGATCTGTTTGAAGCACCCCAGAGAGAAGAAGGGAGTGGTAAGAGCACCTCGTTGGTTGAATGCATGCAAAACCAGGTAAAACCGATGCCTCTTGGGTAGCACTTCAAATATGCTCAGCCTCGCTCTTAGCCATGTCCATGGGGACAATTTCCAAGCATGCTTTTTCAGATCTCATATAGGAGAAGTCTGTGGTACCTTTCCTCACACAGGCTCTGCACCTCGTTTCCACTGCCACAGTTTCTGGTATTTTATTCTCTGAGATGCCCACAGGAACCCATTTAGCACTTGTGAGTGTGCCACCTGGAAATGTGGGGAAGTTAACCATGAAATCTTTGATAGGAGCCTGGAGGCTGTGAACAAATGTTTCCTCCTTTCTTTCCTCTGAAGGCAGCTCTTAAGTGTATTTCATGTGACTTTTCAAATGTTCCCAGAACAAGCAAACAGACCCTGTAGGAGGAGCCAACTTTTAACATACCTTGTAATACCTCTTTCTTGCTCCTTCCCTGACTTACAACCCCTATCTTCATTGCTTCCTGGAATCCTATATCCAAATAAAATTTTGTTTAAGGCTTTGCTTTCAGGGGAACACTATCTGGGAAACTGGGCTTCAGCTTTGTACAATACCCTATCATCCAGCTGTTAATCTGAGATGAAGTTCTGCCGACACCCATAGAGGGCTCCCAGATGTCCAGCCAAGCTTTTGATCTAGCGAAGAAAATGGGCTTGATACAAAGTGACTCATGGGAGAGATTCTACTCATGTCCTAAGCTCGTCCTGTGTGTCGTGATGTTAATTTCCTGCTCAGATTTGGGAACAGGAGTCCTGCCATCTCCTATTTTTGTTGAAAATAGTTGGTGAGCCTGCCCAACGGACAGTAAGAAGGATGACAAAGGGGTCCTGTGTAAAATACCATTGAGAGCCCTAACATAGAGTGTAAGAGCAAGAGGGTGGTTGGCCAGTGGGCTGGAGGAGTATCTGGATCTGGGATCCATGCATGCAGAGTCAGCAGCCTGCAGTAATGCTTATTCCCAGCCTATCCTTTGCAGAATATGGCTCCTGA